CCATGAAAACCATTCTACCCACTGTGCACAGGTCACAGGTCACAGTCCATGGCCCCTTGGCCCATTGGCCCATGCCATTGTCTCCCACTGTGCACTCATCAAATTGTGCCAAGATTTACGAGGCCCTTGATTGAGTTTTCTTATGCTTTGAATACGGCAAACTTCACACAGGACCACCGCACAGCCAAGAGCCAGCCAACGGCCAAAAGACAACTGGGAGATGTGAGCTGTGCGATGGAAGATGTGAGATTTGGGAAAACGGTTTCCTGGTAGTTGGCCATTGTGATGTTCTTGTTGCTCTTTTGGCCACTACCAGAAGTGCTTCTGATCACGATGCCTCACGAACCTTGGACAGAATTTTAGCCGCGCTCTCTTCTTGCTTGTTGTTGTTGTTGTTGTTGTTTATAAGATGACAAATTGCGCTGATATCGCAACATGTTGATTGAGCGCACACGCGGCAACATTGTTAAGATGGGCATGGACTTCGTCTTGGAGTTGGGGTTCGGGGGTTGAGGTTGGTGTTTCCAAACGACTAAGATGGAGGCTGGGGAGTTTGGGTAGATCGTTTTCCAGTTGGGGATCTCAGTGCCCCGGGGCCCCAACGACCAGAGACCAGAGACCAGAGACCAGCGACCATCAACCATCGTCCCGTTCTGTGCGCGTGCGCGTGCTCACTCGTTAAGCTCCATTTCGGGCCAAACTCGGACCTGAAGTTGTATCTCAAGTCCCTGGCTGCAGCATGAAAACCCAGGGAAATAAAGAAATAAATAAAACAAGCAACGGCATAAAACAGAATCCAGCAACAACAAGAAGAACACGGAAAGAAATTAATTTCGGCGAAATTTTATGATCCTTTTCAATCATGAATCTTCTTTGTGTATAATTTTAAAATGAAGTTATAATATTTTTAAGAATTAATAATAATATACTAGGAACAAATTTAATTTCTGTAGAATTTTCCAACATAAATTTATGTCGTTTTTTTAAAAGTTTTTTAAGTACATTAACTCCTAATTGCCCTTTTAAAATAAATAAAAAATTTCATATTACATAAAATTTCTTTCAGTGCATTGAGAGAGGGAGAGCGATCTGGATAGGTGGAGAGGAAAAAAAGCAGAAACACAAAGAAGACTCGAGATGCCGACAAAGTAATAAACCAATTAGGACATCAAAGTGTTCAGCCGACAGCGGCAGAGGCGGCGACAGCGACGCCGGCAGAGAGCAATCGCTGGAGATCACAGAAATTTGCGATGATCCCGACTTTGATTCTAAGCTAGCTAAACGCAACCTACATATGTCGCCCGTTTGCCACGCCCCGCCACAACCCCTCCCAGCCCCTTTCGAACTTCTTTTCTATGACCAAAAACCATTCTCCATTTCCACTTTCATATGCCGAAAAAATCATTCTGTAGTCACAGAGGCAAGCCACTTTGATCTGATCAAAAGGATCAGATTCACGAGTGATCCTTCAGTTCTGCACATTTTTTTTGTTGGATAATTATCATGTCTTTAGGAACCTTTAATCTTAACCGCAATAACTCTTTGTTCTTTGAGTAATACTTAACTTTAAATATTTATATTATTTTAGATTAATTTTGTAAACATTTTTGAAGAGGAATAAAAAAAAAATGTAACTTTTCTGTCATATAATAGTAGAATAATAGATGGAAAGATGGTCCGCTAAAGCTTTATTGGTTTAAGATGGCCGATTTTAAAAAGACTTATCTAAAGAATCCATTTTAAACCATCCTAAATTCCTAAAATATGGCATATAAATTCTTCTTAACTTGCATTAAAAATAAACTCATTTCCATTTAATCTCTGGCATATTTGTACTATCGCCCACTCATATTTTATCACAACTCAGGTGAATTTGCGGAATTTGACGATTTAGCAAGATGGCCCAGTGGAGTCGTCATGCTGGCGCCTGGTCAAAGCGTCTGCCACCCGCACATTATTGGCATTATGCAGATATCTCAATTCGTTATCATTTAAATCATCGGCACATGTGCGCCCACGCCAAACAGGAGCTGATCTCCGGCGGATCTGGCCAAAAGCGGCATTCATTAAGAATTTAAATCGCACATAATTAAGGCTCGATAAATAGCCGACTCGGCTTCAATATGGGGCATATATTATTAGCTGAGACCGATAAAAGGCGGAGACAACAAAAAAGACATATATATATATATCTATATATATATATATAAAAGTGAAGATAACAAACGATAAAGGCAACAACAAACGGCATAATTAAATCATAAGACGTTGAGCACATCATTAAAATCGTTAAAATCGCTACTCGACTTGAAAACTGGCTGCGGAATCTTAAAACAATATAAATAAACATTTATAAAATATATATTTATTTATGAGCATTTTGTGTTTATTAATTCAAATGGGGGTCTGTGTGTCGCCGATTTGATTGGATCATATGGTATATAGATTTGCTTGATTTTTTGGCGGCCCAACAAAAAAACTCCACCCGCGACATCTGCAGAGAATTTGATCGCGGGGATAGATGGGGGAATGTGATGGGAGGAGTGGAATCATCTTGCCACGGCACGTGGTAAACGAGATGCTTCAAAGGCGCCGGCCACGGCCCACCTAAAGCTGGCTTAAAGTCTGGCGGCATCGGCATCGGCATCGGCATCCAACATCCAAGATCCAACATCCAGCGGCGGCATCAATATATAATCAGGCCGCTCAGTCAGCCTGCGGAGGCGATGTCCATAAAACTGGTTGCAAACGCACATAAACCATTTAAGCCGAAAAGAAATCGGCGCGCTGGCAACTCTAACGAGATAAACAACTCCCAGCACTGCGGAGCCACTTTGAATGGTATTTTATTTTCGTTTTTTTTTTTTTTTTTGGATTTTTGTTTTTCTCTCTTATTTTTTTTTTTTTTTGGGTGCTCGTAGTTTGTTTTTGTGTAAGAAATCGATTTGGCTCTTTTCGATATTTCGCCTTTTCGATATTGCTTTTTGAATTTCAAAGAGGCCGGCATTTCATTTCACAAAGTCAAAACAGTTAATTTATATCATGTCGCGACTACTGGTCTTACTGATTTTGCATTTTCGACAGAGCTCCGGCTACCGTCTTTCGAAATTGAAATATGAAAATGAAATCAATTTGGGTCCAGAAACCTGATTAGCGCTACCCCCAGCCCCGCCGATCCGTCCAGCACTGCAGGGCATAGAAGATTGGATACGAGATTGGCGGCGAACGGAATGGATGAGTCTTGGATTTGGAAAATCAAGAGATCGCAAATTAGTCACATTATAAATGTACATACAGATATGTGCGGCCATAAATTTGCGTATATCTCGCTGGCATTCATTTACTGAATGGAGCTCAAATCGAAAATGAAATTTCACACAGAAAAAAATTATGGATAATTTGAGACATTTTTGATAAAAATATTTATGAATTTTCTGTTAAGAAATGGATTTTAGTTTTTGTTTTAAATATGCAAAAGAATATAAATTAAATAATAATAATAATTTTTCTCAATGTGTAAAAGGAAATAATAAAAGTCAAACAAATTACGTATTTACCTCTGTATCTGTGCATCGAGCTGAACTGGACAAGATGCGGGGGACGTCAATACTTGGCCTTGACGCTGTGGTGCGACTGCGTAACTGAGTAGCCGCCACAGGACAGCCAGACCGCTGACACCGTCACCGTCACCATTGCCATCCCATCACCATCAACATCTCCGCCAGCAGGTGCAACAAGTCAAGTCGGCCAGGCTCAAAAGGTGCCGCTGAGCCTGAGCTAATTTCAAATTACACACTTCATTCGCCCGGGGAACTGGGACATTGACTGCGACTGCGATTCGGATTGGGATTGAAAACGGTATCGGTATCGGGACATGGGGTTCAGTAAGCCGCTTTTGAAGCCAACCACAATTGACAAGCGTGCCCCGCACCGCACTATACTATACTATACGCGTATACCATACCTTACTATACTATACCGCTCTGTGATCCTTAAGATCAAAGTCGCCGGCCGCCCGCACGCTTGTTTCGTCCAAAACTCAATCCTCCAGTGGAAAAGGTCCGAGATGTAGTCACTTGCCTAACGGTCGATCGATGGGCTCGTAATGTGCGTGCAAGATGGATTTTCGGGCACCGTGGGTGTGGCTTATTTTAAAGCAATTAGGCCCATAGTGAAGCGTGTCTTCGTCTCTGATGTACGAGGACACTTTTGACTATTGTCCGGGCGAGCCTTTCATCTCCACCGCTAACAGATCATTTGATCGGGGCATTTTCAGTCATTAAATTGATTAGTTGCAGCATCGGGGGGATGCTTGGTAAATTACTCAAATCTGTGATTGATACTTCACGGTGGCAATTATACATGCTGTTAGGCAGCAAGGATTTGTTATAAAAAGTGAATAGTTTATGTCACTCTATTTGATGGCTTATATAGTACACATTATTGAGTCCCATAGCCTCATTATCTGCAAGTAAATTTCATTATTATGTTGTTTGTAAAATCAATTGTTGATCGTGTTAGAGTAAATTCAAACAATATTTGAATTTACAAGTTTCCAACCGAGAAGTATAGAATAAAATGACGTAGTTTTATAAATGATAACAGTAAGCAAATATTTTCACCACAGACACTGTTACATTAACACAATTACAGTAAAATTGTTAGCGGTTCCATATTTCTAACGTTGTCTTTAAGGTAACAGCTGTTAAAAAACGATCCTGTCATCTAAGACAACAACCTTTATGCTTAGTACATCATTTAGTATGCAACAAGTAGCCATCAATGTCTAATGACCAGCCGAAAACTCTTTAAGTCAACAAAATTATTAAAAAAAAATTATAAGGCCATACACTGTTAGTGACATTACCACCAATTACTAAATCGTTAATTTTAAATTTAAAATACGTCGACATAACTTTCCACTGTGCGGATAGAGTGACCAGAGTTTAGCAAGTAATTTAGTTCCTCACGGTCTTACAGCCAAGCTATCGAATGGGATCTATCGTTTGTGTAACCACGGTCTTACTGCTTAGTGGTTGTAAAAATTCCGTGACTGTGTTTCGGTGTATCTTCGATTTTAAACGCGAATTACCCAACGAAATATTGCAAAATACCGTGGAAAACAGTGTGCACCCGCCCAACGACCTTGCGTAGTGGCAAAATGTCTTGTGCGGCCACTCTCTCGTCAGCCAAGGACTCGACAAATGCGGCGAATGCAAGTGCAAATGCCAATGGAGCACCAACAAACAGCAATACCAACACTAACACACAGTCTACGGCTGTGGGTGTGGTAGTGAGCAGTGCAACGGGTGGTGGGGGTGGTGGTGCTCCTATTCCCGGTGGCAACACCTCATCTGCCAATACCTCCGCCTCAGGGGGCACGGCAACGGGAGGTGGAGGCAATTCAGCAGCAGCCCTCGTGCGAAGATTCTCAATGGAAGGCGTGGGTGCAAGGGTGATCCGCGGACCGGACTGGAAGTGGAACAAACAGGTGAGGGGGTCAAGTCTTCTGGTTCTGGTTAGAGTGAAAAAAAACTCTCCCCGTTCTCAATTGACCGATCAATTGCCTTAATTGCAAACCGCGAAACAAGAATCTTGATGCCTCGCCAAACTAGTCAAGTTTCTCTTTTCACATTTTCACCAGAATTCTTGGTGGACTCAATCTGATCCTAGAAAGTGTGTAAACAGTCCTACTTGGATACACTGAAACAAAATACTCTTAATTGATATATTACAAATATTTACAAATGTTTAGACTAAAAAGTATAATTACTATTATCTTAGTTTGGTTCAAATAAAAGCGTTACAAATTTGTTGTCTAATAACAGTTACGAAATATAATTTCTTTATGACTCATAAACTCTCATGCAAGATTTGAAAGTGTGTTTGCTTAAATCGTGCAAAACTATTTGGAAGTAGATAAAACACTTAATCAAGATGAAGTTTTTTCCGCAAATAAAAGTGTTGACTTAATTGGTTTAGGGGCACCATCATTTATAAGTGAATCACAATTTGAAATTTAATATTCAGTCCATAAAATTAGAAGTATTCATTGACGTGATATGACTAATCATAATGCAGATAGTTTATAAAATGGCGTTGTCAAAGTCAGTAGTCAAAAGAAATAAGCATACTTGAAAGAAGTCTAACATTATTAATTAACATCATACATAAGTAATGATGCTCCTACCGATCTAGCAAATAGTAAAAATCAAATATCGCCTACTTAGTATGTAAAAGCTAGGGTATGTAAACTTTCGTTCCCTTAAGCTTTATTACATTCTTACGACTTGCTGATCCCTTTGAGAGATAGCCAAGCGACTTTTTATTGATTGCCTACCTTAACGCTTAGTTAGTTGCTATTATGCACTTCGGTTATAACTTTCGCGTCTTAATCAGTGTGGGTTTTAGCTTACTTACGCAATGAATAATCGGAAGATTTATTGAGACACTAATGGATTATTATCTCCTTTTGATTTTCAACAGGATGGCGGCGAAGGACACGTGGGCACCGTTCGCAATTTCGAATCCGCCGAGGAAGTGGTGGTAGTCTGGGACAATGGCACTGCTGCTAACTATCGCTGCGCCGGAGCCTATGATCTTCGCATCCTGGACAGCGCTCCCACTGGCGTAAAGCACGAAGGCACCATGTGCGATACATGTCGCCAGCAACCGATCTTTGGAATCCGCTGGAAATGTGCCGAGTGCATCAACTACGATTTGTGCTCCATCTGCTACCACGGTGATAAGCATCACCTGAGACATCGTTTCTATAGAATCACCACACCAGGAGGAGAGCGGACTATGCTGGAACCGCGACGAAAATCCAAGAAAGTGCTGGCTAGAGGTATCTTTCCTGGAGCCCGTGTGGTGCGTGGCGTGGATTGGCAGTGGGAGGATCAAGACGGAGGAGTTGGCCGACGTGGCAAGGTCAACGAAATCCAGGATTGGTCCTCGGCCTCACCAAGATCCGCCGCCTATGTAATCTGGGACAATGGCTCCAAGAATCTGTACCGCGTGGGCTTCGAGGGAATGGCAGATCTCAAGGTCGTAAACGATGCCAAGGGCAGTAATGTTTACAGGGATCACCTGCCCCTTCTAGGCGAAAATGGACCCGGAAAGGGACCGCATGGCTTCCAAATCGGCGATAAGGTTACAGTGGACCTTGATCTCGAAATCGTCCAATCTCTTCAGCATGGACATGGCGGCTGGACCGATGGCATGTTCGAGTGCCTAAGCAACGCTGGAATGGTCGTGGGCATTGATGAGGATCACGACATTGTGGTTGCCTACAATTCCGGCAACCGCTGGACCTTCAATCCAGCAGTCCTCACTAAAGTATCCTCGCCAACCACAGCTCCTCCGGAGTTCCAAGTGGGCGACATCGTGAAAATCTGTTCGGATGTGGAAAGCATCAAGATTCTTCAGCGTGGGCACGGCGAGTGGGCCGATGCCATGCAGTTGACTCTGGGCAAGATTGGTCGCGTGCAGCAGGTCTACCACGATAATGATCTTAAGGTGGAAGTGGGCAACACGTCATGGACCTACAATCCGTTGGCCGTTTGTAAGGTGGCCTCTTCCACTGCTTCCGATGGGAGCTGTGCTCCGGTTATCCCGAGTGGTGAACGTCTATCGGCCATTCTCAAGAAGCTGTTCGAACCAAATGTCTCTGGCGATGCCACTGAGGAGTTCGTAAAGGCAGCAGCCAATGGATTTGCTGTGAGTACAAGATGGAAATAATGTATTCTATTGAAATTTAACAAAACATTTCATTCGTCGTTTTCAGGCTCGTTGCGAGGAATATCTAGCCGGTGCAGCTCAACCTTCAACTTCCAGTGCCTCGCCTAGTTCCGGGCCGGATGTGAATGTGAATGGTGTGTTTGCCGGACATACGGCCTTGCAAGCAGCCAGCCAGAATGGGCACATCGAGGTCATACAGGTGCTACTGCGCCACGCCGTCGACGTCGAGATTGAGGACAAGGACGGAGATCGCGCGGTTCACCATGCCGCCTTTGGTGATGAAGCAGCTGTAATCGAGATTTTGGCCAAAGCTGGGGCGGATCTGAATGCGCGGAATAAGCGAAGACAAACGTCTCTCCATATTGCCGTCAATAAGGGTCATTTGAATGTTGTGAAGACACTACTTACACTCGGTTGCCATCCTAGCTTGCAGGACTCCGAGGGCGATACACCTCTTCACGATGCCATATCAAAGGAGCACGACGAGATGCTCTCCCTGTTGCTGGACTTCGGGGCTGACATCACGCTAAACAACAATAACGGATTCAATGCCTTGCATCATGCAGCGCTTAAGGGTAATCCCAGCGCAATGAAGATTCTGCTGACCAAGACAAACCGTCCTTGGATCGTCGAAGAAAAGAAGGATGATGGCTATACCGCCCTGCACCTGGCGGCACTGAACAATCACGTTGAGATTGCCGAATTACTCGTTCATATGGGTAAAGCAAATATGGACCGTCAGAATGTGAATCTCCAGACGGCTCTGCATCTCGCAGTGGAGCGTCAGCATGTACAGATTGTGAAACTGCTAGTGCAGGATGGAGCAGATCTTAACATACCCGACAAGGACGGGGATACGCCGCTGCATGAAGCACTCCGGCATCACACTCTTTCGCAGTTAAAGCAATTGCAGGATGTGGAGGGCTTTGGTAAGCTATTGATGGGCCTAAGGAATGCCAATAACAAGAAGGCTTCTGCTTCAATTGCTTGCTTCTTGGCTGCCAATGGTGCTGATTTGACCTTGAAGAATCGAAAGCAGCAGACCCCATTGGACTTGTGTCCAGATCCTAATCTGTGCAAGACCCTGGTAAAGTGCTATAATGAAAGGAAAACCGACGATTCTGAATTACCCGGAAATGTGGCTGGCACAAGCTCAAATGCCAGGGCAAGAGCCGCCAGTGGTGGTCTCAATCAATCTTCCTCAGCCAGCTTGCCGCTGGCCAGTATGGCTGCCTCATCTACCTTCCCCGCCGCATCATCTTCCATATTTGCCCTTAATGGTATCTCCAACGAAATGAGCCAGTCCCTACACGAGGATCCCCCGAAATCGACCGCCAGCCTGGACGAGTGTCTGGTTTGTTCGGATGCCAAGCGAGACACGGTATTTAAGCCATGTGGCCATGTCAGTTGTTGCGAGACCTGTGCTCCAAGGGTGAAGAAGTGCCTCATCTGCCGGGAAACCGTATCGTCACGCGAAAAGATCGACGAGTGCCTCGTGTGTTCGGATCGGAGGGCAGCTGTTTTTTTCCGCCCCTGTGGCCATATGGTTGCGTGTGAGCACTGCAGTGCTTTGATGAAGAAGTGCGTCCTATGCCGTACACAGATCGATGAAATCTTGTCATTTAGTCTCTGCTGCGGTGGAATTGGACGACCAGAGAAGGTATCTGCGGTAGCCGGAGGAGTGACTAGCGTGGGATTGCCACTACCCGATGAACGATACATGGAGGCAGCTGCAGCGGCAGCCTGTGCCAATGCCTCTGGCCATAGCGTAGCCATGAACAACACTGTAGTAACTCCGGTGGCTGGCAGCAGCAATCAATTGAATAGCCAAAACAATCTCTTGGCCGCTGCAGCAGCCTCTTCGAATGTCTCGAATTTAGCAGCAGCTGGGAGCGTAATGGTAGCTCCATCCAATGTCAACAACTTCCAGATGGACGATGTACAGAAATTGAAGCAGCAGTTGCAGGACATCAAGGAGCAAGTGAGTTACTCCTTTCTTATTTGTTGAAACTTTGATTTTATATCTACATTATAATTTCAGACTATGTGCCCCGTATGCTTCGATCGCATCAAGAATATGGTCTTCCTATGTGGCCATGGCACGTGCCAGATGTGCGGTGACCAGATCGAGGGATGCCCCATCTGCCGCAAGACGGTGGAGAAACGCATCCTGCTCTTCTGAAGTCCTTTTCCGGCACACACATTCCGCGCACAGCCTGCACAGCCTTCGAAGTATTAGGATATTTAAAATACTCACATTCTTATACACACACATACATATATCTACACAATATCATATATATAACTATATATCGATGGTCTTATAAAGCAAAAATATATTTTTAACAAATATTCAAACAAAGACACTAAGCGGAAATACTTTTGCCCGGCTCCTTGCTAATCAGATCCTTGAGTATATCCTTTTTGGCCTGGAAATAATCACGGAACCACAGGATGTGATCCTTTTTCTCCTGGGCGGTCAAATAGGGATTCTTAGATAGACCGACGCAGACGAGCTCCATAAAATGACGGATTGGACCTTTGCTGGGGCACCACTCTTCCAGATGCTGTTCAAGAAAAATATGCTCCGAGAAGTCCACATTCACCTCGTCCACCCAATCCTGCTCGTTGTTAATAGGAAAGCGCCACACCTTACTCTGATCGGTCCACAGGACCATCTGTTCAAAGTAGTTTGCCGGTGGGTGGGCGGCATGAAGACTCAACTCCCGCTCGCTAAGTTGCGACCAGGTGGATAGAATGTCGGTGGAAACAGGAATCTGGGTATCTTTGAAGATGCCTAGGGGTTCTCCGCCGTACAAATTGACACTACCCGTAAAGGATTCAGCCTCCCTTTTGACCTGCCTCTGGGGTCGCTGATAAATGCCCTCTCTGTTCTGTGACTTGAACCTGGAAGCCAACGAGCGACGCACATACTCGCCGCGAGTCTGATCAGTCTGCTGCGGCTGCTGTCGACGATCAATCTTCATACCCACAATTAGATCGCTGTTAGAGGAAACCATAATTTCAATTAGATTATTTTCAAGTTTATCTTGGTCTTTGATAGATCAATTTTTTTTACCTCAGATTGAGTTCCTTATCCCCAGCAGGAGGTGATGAAGTATCTACCGTCTGATTTTCACCAGTCGCAGCTGGTGCTGATTCGCTGCCATGACCGAGGAGTTTTGCCAAAAGCTCCGATTCCGTTTGTTTCTTGTCGCTCTCGCTGGTGCCCAGCATGCTGGCAATGTTTTTGGCTGCGGTCAGAACATTCTTCGAGGCCGCCTCCTGTTTTTGGGCCTCCCTGCGCTTCCGGTTGGCATCGCCAGGACGAGGGAAATCGGGTTTCGGTAGCTGATCTGTAGCCTGCATAGTGCCAAGTAGCCGATTCAGTCGCTGTGCCGCCGTCTCCACGGGTTGGTCCTTTTTCTCCGCGGGCTTATCCTTCTTTTTTGTTGGCTTTTCATCGTCCGAAGAGGAATATCCATCGTCGTTTTTGGACTGCGAGGATGAGTAGTTGACCAATCCCACGTTTTTGTAGGCTGCCGGCAGCAGGGACCTAAAAGGAAAAAGCCATATGAGGGATTAATAGTGTTTCTAATTAATTAATTAGTAGCCTACCGTAAGCCCAGTCTCTGGGAGCTGCGTAGAGCCAACATTATATCCAATTTCTTTGATCAATTAAACTAGAAATAAAAACTTAAAGAAATCGCTCGCGTAACAACAATCCGGCAGAGTGTTGCCAGACTCCTGCAACTTATTTAGACGGCGCTATGGCTATTTTATAGCTAAATTTAAGTTGGGTTTGGGTTTAGCTAAATATAGCAGAGAATAAGAACTAAATCTTTGTATAAGAACTGAGAACTTTAAAATCCAAGATGCATCCTTTATATAAAGCCAAGCCAACTCCAAAGTAATAAAATACAAAAAAAATTTTAATCCATTTTTGCCTTTGAAGCTTTGACGGTATATACTAAATTTATATACTTATACTTTTATTTAGTATTTTTCGGTTGGCACCAATCACTACGTTTTGTATTCCTCGTTTTCAAAAAGTCATCCCCTTTTCCTCTCCATTTTTTTTTTTGTCTTTGAAAATGTGTATTGGATAAGTAAATAGCGCAAAATATTTTGTAATTAGAAATGGGAGAACATCGATAGATTTTTAACGGCAACAAGTGTTGAATAATATAAAAATAAAGTGACTGTATTTCTCCGTTTTCTCTTTGCCAAATTAGTGAATTGAGATGCGTTCTTGGTAACCATCATAAGCGCAACAGCGGCCACACTAGATTGTGTTTCTCTTTTTTTCGACGTGTTTTGTTTTTTGCGCGATTAATTAATGGCAAACCAAGATGCGAGCAGGGAAAAGTGCGAAAAATTAAATAACGACAAATAACGAAAACATCAGCGGTCGAGCAAGTGTGCGTGCGTGTGCGTACGTGTGTGTGTGGCCTGTGTCTGTGTGGGCGTTTATAAATAAAACGCTGCGAAGCTGTGTGCGAAAAGCAGACGCGGATAAAGAAGTAATAGAATGAGCACAACCAAAAACAAGAGCGAAGGAAAGAAAGAAAGTGTTTTTTAAAATCTTTTCAAAAGTTTAAAAGTTTACGAAAAGAAACCGAAAGGCGAAAGTGCAACAGAGCGAAAGAGAGAGCGATAAATAGCGAGGTGAATATCAAAGGGAAAACCCATTTGCATCGAGAAATAAAACGAAGCGAACGGACGGCCAAAGCGTAATTGTAAAATTCCACTGTCTGGGGCAGGCTATCAATTGGTGCATGTGTGTGTGTGTATGTGCGAGAGAGCTATATATACGTGGTACATACATATATGTATATGGCATATATGCCGTATATATAAGATGAAAACATGAAAATATATCTCGCGATAATTGTCATATCATATGTATCTCTCATGTGTGCGCAACATTTTGCAGCTATCCTATCCTATCCGAAACCGATCTGATTTATCAACCTGTTAAGCGAAGTGGAGCCAAAAACCGAGTGCTTAAATGGATGCAACATCAATAATCACGCAAGTTTCCCGCGACGACGAGCAACTGAACGTCTATCCCAGCTATCCCAATGACAAAGGTGAGAAAATTTGCGGGGAAAAAAAAAAAAAAAAAACTCAGGGAAAACCCAGACCTCCATTCATGACTCATCACCACTCAAAGGCGTCACAACAAAGACGAAAGGACACTTGTCCGCTGCCAAGAAGTTTTGCCTCCCCATTCTCCCAAGCACTTATCACCCACCACCCACTTTGACCCCGAAATTATAAGCCCCAACACCCCGCTGACCTTTCGTACTCACCCAATTGCGGTCAATATAATTGTGGGAATAGTTAAGTTGTACATATGTCGTGTTTTCTGTAAGTCGCAACAAATTAAATGGCAATGGCCTTTTTTTTATAATTTATACAGGGAATACTCTTTAAGACATACTAATTAAGTTTAGAAGTTTCTGAATTTTATTTCAAAAAATCAGTTTTAGATAAAGAGAAATTTGTAGACTTACAAGTATTTCTTTTTAATTTTTTAAACACATTTATCATTAGTATGAGTGAAACCTGTTTGTCGTACTTTCTAATAGTCAGAACAAATTAAATGGCAATTGCTTCTTTTTAATTTATGATTTTAATTCCCACGTAAATACCTGTAGTTTCTCTTCTAACTAGAACTTGAATTCAGTTGCATTTTTAAAAATATCGATTTATTGGAATTTGGATTAAATAATGGGTTAAAAACTCTTATAAGAAGAAAACTCTTATAGCCTTAACACTTTACAAAAATGTACCATTTTGTAGAGATATTATTGTTATAAAACTAAAATAAAAGCTTTCCTGTTGTGCATTTACATAAAGCTAACTGAATTTACACAGGTTTTCACTATGATAAATAACAATAGTTAATAATAGTATTATTTTCACCCCATTTGTGTCTGTTTTGTCTGTTTCGCCCCCTTTTTTTCATTCAGCACACAGTATTTTCTTGTTCGTTGGCCATTGTGAATGATCTAACCACTTGCTGGCTTCGTTTTGTGGTTATTGAATTATTTTGCGACGCAGTTGCAACTCTGCTGCCGTGCCACCCCACGGCCGTCCATTTGCCACCCACTGGCCCACTCCCACCTGTAATCAATTGATGACGTCTTTCGGGGCATGTGACGTCATGGAATTTCGACACGAAAGCCTTTTCTTTTCGCCCATTTTATTTTCTTTTTCGTTCGCTTAACTGCTTAACTGCCTTTGCATGTTTACTTTCGAGGGTCCAACAATAGAAACTGCCAATTAAATTGCACAGTAAAAAGCAGCAGTAGAAAAAAAAACGTTAAAAAAAGTTAAGAAAAAATAGAGGAAAACCGGTATGAAGAGAGGAAGAGACAGCGAGAGAAAGAGCACAATAAAACTAGTTGTGAATGTTTTTTTTTTTTTTACAGTGATGCAAACAAACAAACAAAGCAACAGACGAACAACAAAAGCTAAGCTTAAAGGTTGCGAGATGGTTGTAATGAATGAATGAATAAATGAATGGTGAGAGCCAAAGAGAGCGGGCCAAGTACACATAAAAAAATTAATAATATAGTAATAACAATAACAATAAACAATAAAACCACAACAAATCAAACTATTCAAGAGAATTACAAGAAAATGTAATTGTCATTTTTGGTAATTGAACTCAGAGCTTGCTTATCAAAATTAGTTTACCTACTGTCAAGATTTTAAAGCCATCTTATAGTATAAAATCTAGAATTCATCACTTAAAATGATTTATAAAATAATAATCAATATCTGCTTGACCTCAGACATTTGATTTTTTGTCTGTGCAGAGAGAGAAAATGTTAGGAGGGTGGGGCTGGGGCGTTTGAAAAACCGCGATGAACGCCTTAAAGTAAAGTAATAACTAATTTAATCTAATCTGCGGTCGCCACTGCACCTTTTGTACATGGCCACTCGCATATACTAGGCAATATAAATATATATATTTGATATATTATATACAACATATTTGCGGTTAGGTGTTAATCGACGTCGCTCGCTCACTTTGATTTCGAATTTGATTTGATGATCGACAGTGCTGCCAATTTGGCGTAAATAAATGTCTTTTCCTTATCTGCCAGACGATCTATATGTGTCACAGCTAAATTTATTGAAAAAAAATCAATCCAGGAGCTTGCAACTGGAAATCAAGTTATCCCAAATGGGTTCCAAATAGGGATCCAAGCGGTTTTTACTAGTTGAGTTTTATGAGAAACTGAGAGAGAGAGCGTGAGATAATGAGCGAGACGTCATGTACAAACACTTGTGGTCAAGATAGTGAAGCACTCATAGAAAATAACATATTTTTTGACTAAGTGTTATATAAGTAGTATTTAGTATATATGTACATACATATATACAATCATTTTGTGCCTTATCAAACACAAAGAAAGCTTCATATTTATGTTATTATGGTATCTTGTTTATATTGCTAGTAGATTAAGATATATTATAAAGAAACTAAGACTAAGAAATGATAGAAAAACAAACAAAATATGTAGGTTTAAAAAAATGTTCATAGTAAGACTAATAAATAATATAAATCATCAAAAATTCGCATAAAAATTTTAAGAACATTAAATTACGTGTACTTTCGAATTCCAATATAATTAGTTTCAGTAAACAAGTGACAGTTCCAGCAAAAACTTTTTTTATTTTAACTGATAAGAAGAATTCATTTATTTAAAATTTTTCTGTTTAAATGATGTTTAAGAAACACGTTTAAGGTTATAATTCTGATATAGAATAGTAAGATTTTAGCTAGTCAGACCAACTGACAAGTGATTATTGATTTGTAAAAACCAAAAGCCATAAAAACCATTACATAAAGATATGTTTGTTTAAGCTTCTTTTGAAAAACCCACTACTAATATTCTGATCTCAGCTGTTTTTCGGTTTTTTATGTGAACGCGAGTGGGTGTAGTAAGGCTGGTATGAGTGCGAAGAACACGGCAATAGGGGCAAACCGGCAAGCGAACAGCAACAGTTGAAATATGTTTTTCTTTTTTATTTGAGAGTGGGTGCCGCCGCCTAAGTGCTTTTTGCTTTGCCTCACCGCGTATAAATATTTATATAGATATATGTTAGCCCCACCCCTTGCACCTCCCTTCCACCCCTTCAGCTTACCCTCGCTTATAAATACATCTATATTGTTTTTATGGGCAAAACGCAAATGCTCTCCTAGTATCTCATTTCTAGACGCCTCATCTGAACTGTGCTGTGATTTTTCAATTTTCTCAAGGTCTTGGAAGCCAAATTACTCACGCACACAGAAACGGCTCGATTTTTCTTTTTTTCGATTTTTACGCCCTTTTTCGTATATTTATTATTTTTCACATTTATTGAGCAGGTCCAAAAATAGACAAATAATGTTATTTTAATGAATGCCAATTGAGTTCAAAGATCTGGCGCATAAACAAAGATTTTGAGGAAAACGTGGAAAACTGGACGGCGAATTTTCACTCCAATGAGTTGAAATGTTTATACTTTTTTTTTTAGGATAAACATATCACTTGTCTTAATACTTATAGTAATACTAAGAAATATTTATAATTTTTCTTATTACTGCATTTATTGCGCTGAACTAAAATTAGCTTTGAGCCATAAAAATATATAAACATTTATTTAACGTTCTGAAATATTTATAATTTAAATACATAAACCTGTTAGATTATACAATTATTAGATAAGCCCAAAAATATCTAGGAATTAGGGGAACTGTGCGAACTTTTATTGTATAAACAAAATTATTTTTTATGCTTTTATTGCGCAAAACCAAAAATAGTACAAAAATTCTAAACAAAATGTTTAATAAGGGTCGTAAATTAATTGGCAAAAAAATGTAGAAAAAGATTATTTTTTTAAAATACTTTTGAAGACATATTTAACCCAAAATAACAGGTTAAGCCATTTTTAAGGTTCTCGTAGGAATTTTTTCTTTCTTCATAAGTGTATCTAAATTATGACCTTAAGAGCTCTACAATCCAAGAAAACAGACAGAGAACAGATGCATTGCAATGCTTAATTATTGAAAAAATAATATTATACACCGCAGAGGATGAGCGGACTGCGTGCAAAAGATTCGTGCGATGCTATTTCCTATATACCAAAGCCAAAACAGACAAGAAGAAGCACTTTTAAAAATGATGGCTTTAGCTTTTTCCTTTTTAAATCGATAAAGGTCAACGAGTTCTGTACATTGGGATTTTATCTCAATGGTTGATATCAGTTCGTTGAACTACGTTGGGGGTTAAATAAAGGCCAACCCCCAAAAAACAAAGGCGAATTTGGGGTGCTGCAGGTCTAGAGTCTGGAGAGTTCTTCTTATAAGGGAGATAGCATATTGAGTTTACGAATGTTGAAAGGCAGGTGTTGCTGCAGTGTAACTACAGTGAGAGAAATTTTGAGCTTTTATTATTAAAAAGTTGATTAGCAAAAAACTTTAATTCATATCTTACTTAAGAATCAGTTCTTTTATTCGATATTTACTGTATCCATTGACAGTTTTTTTTGCCCATTTATATCACGTGCCATTAACTTTGTTTGCCATCTTTCTGCTGCGGCTTAAATTTTAAGCTGTCACTATCTAAAAATTTAAAAAACAGAAAACACAAAAACAACAAAAAACTTCATAAATATGCTGAAGGTCGAGATTGTGTGTGGCATTTTTGTTGCTCTTGGAATCGGCAAGAATGATATCATAGTGCGCCCCCCCACCAGATAACAAACATTTTGATTAGATAAGCGTCTGTGGCCGAGACTCAAATAAAAATGTTCAATTTTAGGTGAGTGTGTGTGTGTGTGTGTGTGTGTGTTTAGTGTATGTGTGAGTTTGTGGGGCATGTGGGCAATTATATTCTCAATTTCTTATAAATTTTTTCCTTTTCCTTTTATTTGCTTTAAATTAATTATCAAATAATACCCCCTTCTTGACGACGTGTGGCCCTCGCCTTTATCTGACAGAGAACTGAAAAAAAGACCTTGCCCGCCAACAGAACCGAAACTTGTCAACGAAATATGTTCAAATTATAACAAAAGAAAATCTTTAGCAATTGCCATTGCCGTTCCACATCAGTGGAGATACACATATACATATACATATATAGACCAGACCGGGTGTGGTGGCTTGGATCTGGATCTGGTATGTTTGGCCTCTGGCGGATTGTCCTGAAGATCTCAAGTCCAATTGACGCGTGAGGCCGTTTAACAGTCTGGCGGAGAAGTACTCTCATTTGCATTAATTAATTCAGTCCTTCTGTCTGTATTTGTTTTTCTTATTATTTTACATAAATCTGTGATTTAATCGCTTGCCCTTTGGCTGATAAACTCTGTATTAAATATTGATTTGTGTAATGGATTTGTGCTTTTACTCTAAGCATGTTTAACTAAGGCAATTGTTGTAGACTTGGGAATGTTATAAATAATTTACTGCTAGAAAGCAAGTTGGATATAATTGATATACTAATGAAACTGGTTTTAGAATGTTCAGATTCTGATAATTCACGAATGCATGATTGATGTTGCTTAATGATTATAATTTTATAAGAAAAACTTAAGCTTTGGCTTATACTTAGTTATATAAACAGAGTACTTAATCAAAAATAGTAACTATTACCTTTTACCAATAATTTTGTTTTCTGGCACATCAAAAGGCAAGCTGACAAAAATAATTGCACTCGAGTCCATTGAAATATTTTTAATATTTCAACGTGACCGATTCGTTTCACATACTTTCTGACCAAATTTGGGTGTCTATTAAAACCGAATCTCGTAGAGACATGACAGATTGTTGCCCCAATAATGAGCTATAAATATGGTCATCTAAATATGTCTGGAAAACGAGCACAAGAAGAATGCGGAGCAACTGCCCACACAATTTTAGCGACGCTTTAACTTGAAACACCTTAAAAATAGGACAAAAGCCTATTTGAGTGTGATGTGAATGGGTGGGTGGGTGTTTGTTTGGAATGGAATGGATTGGAGTGGGTGGCTTAGTTGGTTGGTTGGTTGTTTGGTTCGTTGGAGGTGTTGCTCCATCGACGACCCAAATATAGATTGCCTATCAATAATCAGCAAGGATACAGAGCAGTTTTCAACAAGTTGAGTGTTTTGGGTTGGCTTTTGGCCCCTTTTTATGCAAAGTTATGCAAAAAGTTGAGTTGGAGAGGTGAGCGGAATAGGAGCAGAAAATATGAAAGGGGGTGAAGGCTGAAGGAGAGTGGTTCACCTGCCTAATAATTACAAATGCCAGACGCTGGAAAAAGCTTTCATTATGCTAGAAAAGCAACAGCAACTACAACAAGAGCACACGCTCATAAAATATTCAAGTGCATTTGCACTTCACTTGCAAGGGTTCTATGAGAAAAAAAAAATACATTAGAAAGAAACCAGAGGTAGGTTTAAGTACCCTTTTGCAGACCACTCTTCTCAAGCTATGATCTTAGAAACTTGACATATGAACAAGATTCTTAATTTGCATTATTCTGAGAAACTTGGACATCTTTTTATCTTAAGTTAACTACTATTTTAGTCCTCTTTTTAAGGTATTTATATATTCTGTTTCAAAATTATTTAAGTAAAATACATTTTCTTATTATATTTTAAACTTATTCTTATTAATTATTTGAGCTTCATAGATAGCTATAGATACAGATATATAGATACATTCTAGTATGTTGCATTTTACTCTAAAAATGTCGTTTACCTTTGTAAAGGGTATGGTTAAGAGAGCGACACAGAAAGAAAAAGCTCGTCACATCCTAAGCTCAGTTTTCACTTGGCTAACGGTTCAATGAACCGTTACGTCTAGCTTAGCCACCAAGAAGGACGCTTCCCCACCCCACCCCTTCTTTGGCCACCCATCATACTCCCCTCACATCAACCACTTGAAGCTTGTTTTCTCTGCTAAGTGATGTTTGACTGCTGTTTCCTTTTGTTGCCACACAATGCAAATGGCGGACGGACGCATTTTCGCTATCCTCTATCCCTGGCTCCCTAGTTTGCCACCTTTCTTCCTCCCTTCTTCCCGTTTTGGCCAAGGTGGCCGCACCTCGAGCCAGCTTAAAGGTCAACCTGTGACCTTCTATCCACCCATCTATCTATCCAACTTAACTATCTCCCTGACTCGTATCTGATACAGGTGGACTTCTATAAGTGGAACTTGCATAAGTTCTTATCTTATTATTATCTTAATATCTAGATGCTCTTAAATCGTTTCTTTGTTTTAAAAGATTAGAATTAATAATTCAATAATTTATCAACAAAATGACTGCGTTTTCGATCATCTACGTTTCCAAATCCAAAAGTTGTTCTTAAAAAATATTAAAATATACAATATATTGTGACCCCACATAAATCTTATAACTTCGAAAAGAGAAGTTTATGAAGAAAACCGTAATAAAAGTTTAAGTTATAACTCATTTTTATTGGAATATTTCGCTAATTAAGTAATTTTGAACAACTACAAATGTTAAGATCCTAATCAGTAAATAAAAATGTCAAAGTATACTATAATTATTAGTATAAAATTACATTTTTAATTTTCATTTTATAATTGGTGTTTAATGTCGATGTTCGACTGTAACTCGCTGATTCGCTCTACCTGCTACTTTGTTAGTGTTTGCATGCAATTATAGCATTTCCCATCGATTAAACGCATGTTTCCACCCCCTAAACCCCTATACCCCATGTTCCCCCGCCCCGCATTCGTACTCCTACCACAGTGTTGCGCTGCCTTCTAGTTTTGCCTTTGACTTATATTTTTAAACATTTTCGCACAAAAACAGAAAACCACAAACCAAAACACACTGGCGTGGCGGCCAAATGAAAAACTAAAACAAATTGTCTGCATTGCATGTACTGCAGTATTAACCAGATATAGAAATTGGAATAGATCTATATTTGTTTTATGCAAATGTAGCAAACAAAACAGACAATGTTTATGTCATTATGGGGCACAAACTGTAAATAGTAATCTGAGCAAGGCAAAATACACCCGACGAAAATGGAATGAAAATATATATATATATATAGGCGCGTTCTGAGGGGAAAACAACACCGTGGGCGTATTTTTGGGGGTCTTAAATATTGCTTGAGAAGTTTTTATGAGGCGGATAGAATTTTGTTTAATTTAATGGAGGATCCATCAAGGAAATGCTTGGAATTTCTATTAAAATACTTCTATGAAGTTTAATCGATGGAATGTTTTTGGTCTTTTGGCTATCCTGATTGAGATTTATGATGTTCTTAAATGCATAATTTACTACAGATTAGTTTGTTTCCAAAAAGATACCTCGAGATCATCATTCTACATTCCCCAACATCATTTTACATGCTCAATACAAAGAATTATGACTTCTTATTATGAATTATTAAAAACTAAAAAACAACTTTTATATTCTTCAACATCTGTAGACGATGTGGACCGCCTAAAGCCACAGAAGCGAGGATTATTTCAATCTCTGCTTTGCTGCTGGCGACGAAATCGAACGAAAACCAACCAGAATGGGACACAAATCGATGGTTCAACAACACCGCCACCATTACCGGACCAACAAAGGTACCTACTACCTCAGGTTAGGCTTACCGATATGCACAGAAAGTGCATGGTTATCGATTTGGATGAGACCCTAGTGCATAGTAGTTTTAAGGTGAGTATATAAACTTCTTTGTTTTTAAATATTCTTCATATTAATATATAAATTGTATTTTTCAGCCCATACCGAATGCTGATTTCATAGTTCCAGTGGAGATCGATGGAACCGTACATCAGGTGTACGTTCTGAAGCGACCGCATGTGGATGAGTTTCTGCAGAAGATGGGTGAACTGTACGAGTGCGTTTTGTTTACAGCCTCACTAGCCAAATATGCAGATCCAGTTGCCGATCTGTTAGACAAGTAAGTTTAACTAAAAACTAACTAAATACAGATTCTAATATTTTTGAAAATCTTGAATTTCAGATGGAATGTGTTTCGTGCAAGACTGTTTAGGGAATCATGCGTTTATTACAGGGGTAATTACATTAAGGATCTGAATCGTCTGGGGCGGGATCTTCAGAAGATTGTCATCGTAGACAACTCACCGGCCAGTTATATCTTTCACCCAGACAATGCAGTAAGTAAATAATAATTTAAACTATGAAGCTTATATTAATGTCTTAATTTAATTTTACAAAAAGGTTCCTGTAAAATCCTGGTTCGATGATGTCACCGACTGCGAACTGCGCGAACTGATCCCGCTCTTTGAGAAGCTTAGCAAAGTTGATTCCGTCTATTCGGTGCTCTGCAATTCGAACCAGCCGCTGAACAATCAGACCAATCAGCAGCATCCCCAGGAGCTGCAACAGGCGCCGAACCAGCTGCATCAGCAGCAACAGCAGCAGCAGCAGCAACAGACCATCTCTGCCACGACAGTTATTACCCAGGCAACGACTCTGTCTGCACCGACCATGTTGAACCAGCAGCAGACAAGTCCGCCCAGCCCACAAAGCGAGCTGCTGCAAAAGACGTAACATCAGTGGGAACTAATGTTTATAAATATATGATAAATTGTATACATATTACAAGACCAAGCAAGCCGATATAAGCAAGCAAACAAACACCCTTTCCCCCAAGCTCTTCAACTCATTTAAGCCCAGGATGAAATGGCAAGGGTTAAATGAGTTGAAACCAACTACCAATTACCAATTACCAATTACCAACTACCATTTGCTATATACTATAACCCCGCTCGACACGTAGGCTTAAGATAAGTTTTATATGGTATACATTAATTTTTACAGAACCCTATTTACACGGCACATTTGTTATTTATTCTTGTTTTGCTCTACCAATTATAAATATTATTATTTTTTTTGTGTTTTTTTATATAAACAACTTCTAACTGCTTATTGCGTTTGGCGGCGGTAACCCGTCTAAGTGGTATAATAAGCCCCAACATAAGCCTCTATTTTTACCCAATTAATCATAACTCTGTAAGCATATTTAAAATGGTAAACCAACTGAGCAAGCAAAAGATTTAAATGCATAAAACAAAAAATGATAACTATACATATGAGCAGAGAGATAAAATCAAATTCAAAATATAGCTATATTTATATATATTTTTTATTAAAAAAAGAAAACAAAACAAAAAATAATAAGCGTAAAATGAGGAAAGGAGAGAAAACCCAATGGGGAAAACTTAAAAACAAAAATTATATATATATAATATATGTGTACTAAAAGAAATTTATATATATACATACATGGATATATATTTAAGGCATGTGTCTACACATGTTTATAGCACTAAGGCATGTATAATATTTCGTATATTTATTAAAGAAATAAGTTTTAGACGCGGTCACCCACTCACGCTTGATCGTTGGCACTGGCACTGGCACTGGCAAATGTCAAAGTTGGTAGTATATCGGGTTTATCGCTTAGATGGTGGCTTTGCCTATCGTATCGTATCTATCACATTCTGGTTTCCTGAAATATGTCTGACAATCGTGAGTGTTTGGGCCGCGTTTAAACGATTTTAAGTTGCATTGCAAGAGGGTGAAAAAATGGGCTATATCTGTAAGCCAATTTGTAAAGCATCTAAAAGTCTGCGGCGCGTCCGTAGTTAATATATAAACCGAACCGCTGGGCCTGCGCTTGTGTCTGTATGATCCAAAGACGTGAATTTCCATTCGATCCTTAACTAAACTCACATTCAATCCGATCTGGTATTAAGATTTAACCACTGTCCTAGCGCAAATTGAAATTCCCGCCTTTGGACAAGCTTGGACAAGCGTAGTTGGGAAAACATTGTACTAGGCTTAATGAAAATTATACATCTATATATTTTAACCAATTTATGTTAATTTCCCCTCTTATCAAGTGCGCTTATGAAACGCATTGCAATATATATTTATATATATATATTTATGCCTACTTTAACCCTCCTTCGACTTGAACTTTCACCTTCGGCCGCGTTCTGTATTCTGTGTTAGCATGTGAAAATGGAAAAATGGAAAATGATATTGTAAACAATGAAACAAATACACCTTTAGCTTCTTTCAACTCCGACCAAATATCAATCATTATATAGTATATATATATATATATATATATTGAGCTCAAGCTGGCCACGCCGAAATCCCACCTGATAAATATATATTATATAGACAAAAGACGCTATTGCTATCCGAACCACACGACGAAAGATACACAAACACACGCTCACAGACCAGTCCATTTCTACTTTCAATCTTTTAATCTATATGTAACATCTATGTCTTGTATTTTCTCAACTAACTTTTTGCAACAATTCTTTTATTTAGTGCATAAGCCTTTTGTGTTTTTATTTTTGCTTAAACTAAAAAAAAAAATAATAATAATAATAATATTGAAAGGTAACAAAAATTGGCACGTTGCAAACGCGCAATATTCTCATATTTTTTGCAATCGAGCAAGTAAATTATACATAAAGCTAAAATAATATATGTATTGTATATCATTTACACCCGCTGCAAAAGTCTAAAAGCAAAAGCTAAACAAAAAAGGGATTGCAACTAATCACGAAATTTAATTGTAAAATGCAAAATGTGTTTTAATTGCGTATATTATTAAATGTTTTACTTTTAATAAAAGCAAAACACAAACCAATCGATAAAACCATTCAACTTAATTTATCATATAAAGGGAAGAAATTCTATTTTTAAAGTGAGCCTATAAATGTAATGCATCAATGTCGACAAAACAAAACAAAAAATGAATTAAAAACAAAAATGAAATTTAAAATCTACAAATATTATGTCATCAAACAATAAAAACAAATTAAAACCCAATTTGGAGCGACTATTATTTGTATTAATATATTGGATAAGGCTAAAAGTTGATTTTTTATAAGGAGCTAAAGCAATATTATACCTTAAGTTTGCTGGAATATTGCTATTTTTATTTAATTGATTGTGTTTTCTATTCTATTCAGCTTTAATTTTGTTATATCTATATATCATATTTTATCGAATAAGATTAACATTGTAATTTATTAAGTATATGTTAGTTACGGTGGGTTTAGAAGTTTGAAGGACGCTTGCTCTTTCTTTAAGAAAACGTAAAGTTTTTATGTAAGGTATTTCTCATGAAGTTTCTATTGTAAGATCGTTATTTATGTGTGGTTAGAGGGTTAAGGGGTACAGGGAGTTGGATCGGCTAAATACATCTTCTTCTTTAGACACACAGTTCAATGTTGCATCTGGTTGCATATTTTATTATATTATATTATGTGAGTTGTTAAGCTCGAAAGATTTCAAGATCCATATTTCGTAGATATCCGCGCACAATATTATACGGAGAGCCCCTTCAACACGTCTTAAAATTTTGGATGTCCAAACTTTTCTTTTGATACTTTTTATTTCTAAAAACAAACTCATTATCTTTTTTGAATACGGAATAAAGTTCTATTTATTATTTAAATTTGTTTTTAACGCACATTATTACACATACACATACACCTCGTCGAGCTCACAATTTCCATCGTTCTACACACTATTTAATACATTCATTTATATATCTTTAGTTAAATATATTTGTCTTGAACTTAGCCGCTAAACTAAAGATGTAGGCAATGGGGTTGATTTGCTTTGTTTTATTATTAAATATAGGCCAAAAAACACTTAGTTTATACGTTTATATACGCAATGCTCTTTTGAGACTTGCTTGATGTTAGATCTTGTTCGGTTTTATATAGTCTTTTGAAAGCTTTCTTTATGTAGCAATGCGAGCGAAAGGAATATACAAAATGGATTTGAAACATATAACTTTCATAGCAAATCGCTTCATCTCCATCTCCATCTTTGTATAATCTCAATACAAAATACATCGAAAAAGTTGTTGTGTGATTTATCAATATTTAGTACATAGTTGAAAATGTTTGCTTAGCGATTCTTTGTTTCTTTGTTGTTGTTGTTGTTTGTATTAAATTTGTTTTGTAGATTTCATTTGAATTAATATTTAAATGCATTTAAGTAACGTGTTACAATTACAACATATTTTATTCATTGCTATGCGTGTTGTTCTCAGGTTGCTGAAATTCCTTTTACATTACAAATAGATAATTTCATAGCTATATATGGGGTTTATATAAATATGCATTTTATTTATCGATTTTGTGGCTGTAGTTGCACTTTAACATCTTACTTAAATGACTTTCTGACTAGACTAGTGCATAATTAGAATTGGATCGCATTTAGAATTTACTCATTATTTGTTTAAGTATGCTAGTGCTTGGGATCAATTGGTTAATTTTCTTGTCTTCGCTGTATTTGTCATATTTTATTAGTAAAATCTGAAGTCTTTGCCTGCCGTCCCTGTTACGAAGTTATCGATCCTAGAGAGCTCTTCTGGTCTCAAAGTACGTGAGGATTGTGTATTCCTGAATATTCACTATTACTTTACATTTCTCTACTACATAATGCTTTAGTTTCCAGCCCACATAGGACAAACTTCGCTCAGAGACCGTCATTTCCATGCAAATTTCTTAAAAGATTGGTGTTTAGTTTTTGTTTTTTTTTTGTTGTGTGCGCTTTACAATTTGTTAATATCTCAGTACGTGGAATTAGAATCTTGAATATTGCACGCTTAAACAAACTCTGGTTTTGATTATGGTTGCATTGGTAAATTTGTTCGGTGTTCATTTGCTTACGTTTGCTTTTAGGTTTTTGGTATACAAATACTTTAAAGGACAAAAAGGGTTTTGTGTACTTTCGGCTTATGATCGAAGAGTAAGAAATACGCAGAAATGTACAGAGTAATTACAGTAATACATGAATAATATGTACGCAAGTGAAGGGAGGCCGTGCTCGGCCTGGACCCCAACTCGTTCATCCGATATCGGTCAGCGTTGACGCTTCTGTCTTGTTTGTGTGGAATTCTTCTTCGCGAATTGTATTTTATAAATATTTTTAGCAGCAGAACAGCGGGACCAATTATAATGATTGACGGAAATGAAACGGTTTGGATTTTTTGGAAAGAGAAAAAGCAGTAGCGGACTCTCTAAAGCGTTTGGTGTTGGTTGTTTGGTTGTTAAACATGCGCGATGGGCATCTGAAGCGTCTTCGCATCCCGATAGGACTTATCCTACACGTACTGATGGTCGCCAGCCATTCCATCGGGGCAATCCACGCTCAACAGTGGCTCCTTTTCGATGGTCTGATGCGTTTGGGCATCGTAGTCATAGTAGTTCATCCAGTCCACTCGTTTGGGCTGTACCAAACCAAAGCAGCTGCACTCGAGGAAGTCCACGAGGTTCTGGATGGGTCCACGTGTGAACGGGCTATGGCCGCCTTTGGCCTGGAAGTGGCGATATCGACCCCGGTTCATGCGCTCGTTAGTGGTCATTCCCAAGCAAATCACTTGATATGTCTGGCAGATCGTCAACAGGATGACCCAGGACATGTGTAGAAGGGCGTTACCCATTACCCAGCCCACCCAGGCATCGCAGTTGCCAATGGCCCGCATGGCACCGAGGAAATCTGTGGTTAACTCGTGTATAAGAAGAAGTTCTTATGGCGGTAAATCGATGAACTTACCATCAAATCGAACATTGCACTGATTCACATAATACTTGGAGCCGCCATACAGCATCCAGACGCACATGATTAGCAACATCCAGAGGAATCCCATGAAGTAACTGTGGTTTTTTAAGCCAATGCAGTTTCCCACCCACGGGCAGTGATGATCAAATCTCGCCACACAGCGATCACACACGGAGCAGTGCTTGGAGCGTATAGGCCGGCGCACCAGGCAACCGGAGCAAAAAGATGCGGGCTCAAATCCGATTCCACCTCGCTCGGATAGCTCTATGATGGTCTATGAGGGTATAAATATTGAAATTATCATATCTACTCTTAGCACGTATTCCAAAAATCAGCATAATTAAATTACTAACAGAAACACTCACCTTAAATCTCTGCTCTCTGGTGGGCCGAATAATACCCGGATCTCCCTTCCACGACTTGAGGAAGCACACCCACAAGGCCAACGAGGAGATGAGGAAGCAAACGGTGGCCGTAAACGAGACAGCATCATCGATGTACATTAACCAGGTGACATAGAACCAGGCCTTGGTGGCCAAGTAAACGCTGAGAGGCAACAGGGCCATTAGATGTTCATCAAACAAGGCCTTCCCGATTGTGTGGAATATGGCGTACAAACAGCCCAGGAGGAAAAACTTGATGATGTACAGTGTGTTTATGGTGAACACAATTCCAGCCAGATAGAAAGCGGTGAAGGGACAGGCCACCATGGACCACCATCTCAGGCGTTTATCGTGCCGCAGCTTTGAGACCAGAGATCGCCGTTGTTGCGAGGTAAGCGCTGCCTCTTTGACGCGGTCCATAACCTTAGCCCCTATCCAAATTGCTCCTGTCTGGGATTCCAGCATCGAGAGCGGTGTCTCGCCCCGCAGATTAGGCACATCTAGTGAGGCCTTTGACTTGAGCACCAGTGTGGAAATGGCCGTGGCATTGCGCGCTAAGATAGCCCAATGCAAGGCTGTGTTTCCATGCGTATAATCAACCATGGCGGGATTGGCTCCAAGAGTCAACAGAAGGCGCACAGGATCCAGAGCGCAAACCTTTGAGGGGAAGATGTAATCGTTAGTGTTCTTTTATAAACTATAAAAAGTCAACTAAGATATCCCCCAGTATTGAGTCAATATCTTGAATTCATAAAATTCTCAAAGGATTCACTGTTTTCCTTTCAGCTAAATGCTAATGGCATGATTTTCTTATAATTCCAGATGTTCTAGATCGAGTACTAAATCTAAATTTAAATTCTGCTTGATTTTAGAAAGAAATATATATAACAATACTCACCTTCCATGCTGCCCACATCAGCGCCGTCATCCCACCTCGATCCTGTAGATCGGGGTCTACGCCTTTTGCTATGAAGTAAGCCACTAGAGCGGTGTGCGCGAACTGAGCGGCAATGTGTATGCAGGAGCAACCCTCCGCATCCCTGATCCTTGGATCTGCACCAGCGGCCATGAGCAGGACAACGGCACCGAGATGTCCCTGTCGGGTGGCCCAGTGCAGGGGCGTGGCATTTAGTTCGCCTCCCACGGCATCTACGGTGGCGCCCTTCTCAAGGAAATACCGGATGATGTCTCTCCGATTGTTGATGGCCGCCCAATGGAGCAGAGTGACTGTTTCGCTATCCGGTTGATTGACATCCCAACCAGATTCGACCAGCTCTCGGACCCTGGCAATGGCCCCATACTGGGTGGCCTTAACGATATCGAAGCCACTGTAATCGGGCTCAACGGGCGCGGTGGGGGGTTGTTGGGCGATCAGGGCCGACTGTCGCTCATTGTCCGGTTGCTGGCCGGTTCCCGGGACACAGGAGCCCGTGGTGGCAGCCTGACAGGCACTCTGGTACATCGCTGGCTTCTCTGGGTTCCCGTACCCGTTCCCTTGGGGTCGTCCAAACGTGATTCACACTGCACTGTGCTCGTCGTAACATCAACCGTCCATCCCCCTCCTTCCAGCGGACGAGCGAGCGAGAGGGGTGAGCCGAGCGGATGGCGAGAGAGAGATAGAGGGAGAGAGCAGGAGAGACACCCCCACCAGGCACTGTTTCGGGCAATTCACAGGTTTGTCATTTTCACCGGAGGTTCCCACGGCAGCTGCGTTCTCATCCGTATTTGGGACCCTTTTATAGGGAGTATCTCCAGGTGACGGCACGGCAATCGCGATTATTAGTTTAATGCGTTTTACCTGCCAATTTCGGAGGACTACAAATTTTGGTGGTACAATACAAGCTGATAGCACTGAATATGTTTCGCGTTATTCAACACTATCACGGGGAATTTCGCAACTTGTTCGGTATTTTTAAAATCAGTTGCGGTATTTTTAAATCATACGTAAAAATTACAAAAATTTTAAATTGTGTTTTTAAAGTAGTCATGGCATTTTTATCTTAGTAAGTCACAATGGAAAACCTTAAGTTGATTATCACATCGATATTTTCTTTATGTCTGGTATAGACATTATACAAATTAATTGAAATAGTGTAACAGGATAGTGCTATCTAACAAATTATATTATTTTTTTCTTTGTTTAATCTTAATCATATAAAATACACAAGATATTCCTTTATTTATATTATTTTTACATTTTTAATTTATAGAATTCACCGTTACATTGTATTTTTCGGTAGATTTTCAGCACAAAAAAGGTACTCACTGAAGTTTCGCACGAAATTCGGCCATACTAACTTTCCCATCTGCAAAAGCGCGCCCAATTTTTTGGCATCTTATGTTTTTGCAATAACACTTGCATTAATGTACTAAGAATGGACGCCAAACGCAAGTTTAATGGAACCTCCAATGGCTATGCTAAAAAGCCAAGGTAGGAAGCCGTTGGAAAATAATAATAAAATCATTATAAAATTTACCCCAATAGAAATCCCGATGATGACGAGGAAATGGGGTTTGAAGCGGAGCTGGCGGCTTTTGAGCACTCCGAGGAAATGGATCAGACTCTGCTAATGGGTGATGGTCCTGAGAATCAGCAAACTAGCGAAAGATGGTCACGTCCACCTCCGCCAGAACTGGATCCCTCCAGGGACAACTTACAGTTTCAGCAGCTGGATGTAGAGAACTACTTGGGACAACCTTTGCCGGGAATGCCAGGAGCGCAAATAGGACCCGTGCCGGTGGTGCGTATGTTTGGTGTCACAATGGACGGCAACTCCGTATGTTGCCATGTCCATGGCTTCTGTCCGTACTTCTACATAGAGGCACCTGGAAAATTTGAAGAGCACCATTGCGAGAAACTGCAACAAGCTTTGGATCAGAAGGTTATAGCCGATATCCGCAACAACAAGGATAACGTTCAGGAGGCTGTGCTCATGGTGGAACTGGTAGAGAAGCTAAATATTCACGGTTATAATGGAGACAAGAAGCAGAGGTACATTAAAATATCTGTGACGCTGCCCCGATTTGTGGCTGCCGCTTCACGTCTTTTAAAGAAGGAGGTGATCATGTCCGAGATTGACTTTCAGGACTGTCGTGCCTTCGAGAATAACATAGACTTCGACATTCGCTTCATGGTGGACACCGGAGTGGTGGGCTGCAATTGGATTGAGCTTCCAAAAGGGCACTGGCGGATTAGAAACAGCCGCAGTAAGCCGTTGCCCGAGTCCCGATGCCAGATTGAGGTGGATATTGCTTTCGACAGATTCATCTCTCATGATCCAGAAGGAGAGTGGTCTAAGGTTGCTCCCTTCCGCATACTTTCCTTTGATATTGAGTGCGCGGGTCGCAAGGGAATTTTCCCGGAGGCGAAAATGGATCCCGTAATTCAGATAGCCAATATGGTAATAAGGCAGGGAGAACGTGAGCCCTTCATCAGGAATGTTTTTACCTTGAATGAGTGCGCTCCTATTATAGGAAGCCAGGTTTTGTGCCACGACAAGGAAACCCAAATGCTGGACAAATGGGCTGCCTTCGTCCGTGAAGTTGATCCAGACATTCTTACTGGATATAATATTAACAACTTTGACTTTCCCTACCTGATCAATAGGGCAGCACATTTAAAGGTAAAGAACTTTGAGTATTTGGGTAGGATCAAGAACATTCGCTCGGTGATTAAGGAGCAGATGTTGCAGTCAAAGCAGATGGGTCGCCGCGAGAACCAGTATGTTAATTTCGAAGGAAGAGTTCCCTTCGATCTACTGTTTGTCCTGCTGCGCGACTATAAACTTCGCTCGTATACCCTCAACGCTGTGAGCTATCATTTCCTGCAGGAACAGAAAGAAGATGTTCATCATAGCATCATTACAGATCTTCAGAATGGAGATGAGCAGACACGTCGCCGTTTGGCCATGTACTGCCTGAAAGATGCCTACCTACCGCTGAGGTTGCTGGAGAAGCTTATGGCCATTGTTAACTACATGGAAATGGCCAGAGTGACGGGGGTGCCACTGGAATCCCTGCTCACCCGTGGACAACAGATCAAAGTTTTGAGCCAACTTTTGCGCAAGGCCAGAACTAAGGGATTCATTATGCCCTCATACACCTCTCAAGGATCGGATGAACAGTACGAAGGAGCCACTGTGATTGAACCAAAGAGAGGGTATTATGCGGATCCCATCTCCACGCTAGATTTTGCCTCCCTATATCCGAGTATTATGATGGCGCATAACTTGTGCTACACCACCTTGGTTTTGGGAGGAACTCGTGAAAAGCTGAGGGAACAGGAGAACCTTCAAGATGATCAAGTAGAGCGCACGCCCGCCAATAATTACTTTGTAAAATCGGAGGTGCGTCGTGGTCTGCTCCCTGAAATTCTGGAATCCCTTTTGGCAGCCAGAAAGCGTGCCAAAAATGATCTTAAAGTGGAAACAGATCCGTTTAAAAGGAAGGTTTTGGATGGCAGGCAGCTTGCGCTGAAGATTTCAGCTAATTCCGTTTATGGATTCACTGGCGCCCAAGTGGGAAAGCTGCCTTGTTTGGAGATATCAGGAAGCGTAACAGCCTACGGTCGTACCATGATTGAGTTGACCAAAAACGAGGTAGAGTCGCACTACACCCAAGCCAATGGTTACGAGAATAATGCGGTGGTCATCTACGGCGACACAGATTCTGTGATGGTTAATTTTGGTGTAAAAACTTTGGAGCGAAGCATGGAGCTGGGTCGCGAGGCGGCTGAGTTGGTCAGCTCCAAATTTGTTCATCCCATTAAATTGGAGTTTGAGAAGGTTTACTATCCTTATCTCCTTATCAATAAGAAACGTTATGCGGGGTTGTACTTTACTCGACCGGAGACCTATGATAAAATGGACTGCAAAGGCATTGAAACCGTGAGGAGAGATAATTCCCCACTGGTTGCCAACTTGATGAACTCCTGCCTGCAAAAACTTCTCATCGAAAGGGATCCCGATGGAGCAGTGGCATATGTTAAACAGGTTATTGCCGATCTCCTCTGCAACCGCATAGACATCTCGCATCTGGTTATAACCAAGGAGCTGGCTAAGACTGATTACGCCGCCAAGCAGGCGCACGTAGAGCTTGCTGCCAAGATGAAGAAAAGAGATCCTGGAACGGCACCCAAGCTGGGAGATCGAGTTCCATATGTGATATGTGCAGCGGCTAAGAACACACCCGCATACCAGAAAGCAGAAGATCCACTTTATGTGCTAGAGAACAGTGTGCCTATCGATGCTACTTACTATTTGGAGCAGCAGCTATCCAAGCCGTTGTTGAGGATCTTTGAACCCATTTTGGGGGACAATGCCGAGTCCATTTTGTTAAAAGGAGAACATACACGCACACGGACTGTGGTAACCTCCAAGGTTGGAGGACTAGCCGGATTTATGACCAAGAAAACAGCATGTTTGGGCTGTAAATCCCTAATGCCTAAGGGTTACGAGCAAGCCTGCCTGTGTCCACATTGCGAGCCCCGAATGAGTGAGCTCTACCAGAAGGAGGTGGGTGCTAAGAGGGAACTGGAGGAGACATTCTCCCGCCTGTGGACAGAGTGCCAGCGATGCCAGGAATCCTTGCACGAGGAGGTGATCTGTTCAAACAGAGATTGTCCCATCTTCTACATGCGACAGAAGGTGCGCATGGATTTGGACAATCAGCAAAAGCGGGTGATGCGATTCGGACTGCCCGATTGGTAACCAATGCATGAATTTACTGAATTGTTTAATCCTATAATTTAATAATTATATTACTAGAAGTTATTACAAAGTTTCTTTCGGTTCGTGGATTTTTTGCGCAATCTGCAATTTGAAAAAGCTGTAGACGATTCCTAGCTGGCGATGCTTTGGACACACATTTTTACATAGGGGTTTGGGGGGTTTGAGGACTGGCTAAGGATCTACTTGCGACTCTGCAGGGTGTTGGACAGCCAGTCCATGGCTTGGTCGAGACCCTCGCCCTTGGTGGCTGACGTTTTAAATATTTGAAATGTGCGGTTCTTAAGGTTCTCCAGCCCTAACGCATGATGAACCTCGGCAACGGTCATGCAACCGTCCATGTCCTGTTTGTTTGCCAGGACGACCAGTATCGCGCCAGCCAGCTCCTCTTCCCGAAGCATGTACAACAACTCATCCTTGGAAATGCCTATACGGTCCCGATCCGCCGAATCCACTACATAGATGATGGCGTCTGTGTTGCTGTAGTAGCAACGCCAGTAGGGTCTGTAATGAAAATTGTACGATTTAGATAGTGTAAAGAAAGTTTGCCCCCGAAGACGTTTATTTTTTAATTGTTAGTTTTTGGTCAATTTAAAATATTTTAATATTAGACTTTCGACCCGCTTTGCGGTTTTATTTAAACAAGTGTTTCGCATTGCATAGCATTGTGACCCATTCTTAAGTTTGCTTAAGAACAACTTTTGTGAAGTGATAAGGGATATATGTAAATAGAAGTCTTGCGGAAGTCGAAGTTTAATAAAAATAACTTTCTTTCTGAAGAACAGTTACCAGCAATATTTCGCTATATGTCGAAAAATCTTGTACTTGGTTTGGAAAAAGATAATATTGCTGTTTGAATCATTTAATGCTCTTTCATAATATCGATATTGCATTATGCATGGAAAAAATGTTTCATATGGTACATATAATTGGTACACATATCAAACATTTCCGATTTTCTTATCTCGTTCGCCCTGTGTACCCACCCACACACCTAATAATATTAAGTTTTAATTAAAATCGGATAGGTTGAGGAGCAAATATATATGTTTTTAGGCTGAGTTTTAAATTTAATTACTTCCTTATAATTATTTTTTGATTTTTAAAAGAAAACAATAACATAATCCCATCCGCGTCTCCGACTCACCTAATACTTGTCTGTCCACCCAAGTCCCAGACCTGGAACTTGAGGTTCTTGTAGGTGACCTGCTCCACATTGAAGCCTATGGTGGGTATCGTGGTGACCACCTCGCCCACCTGCAGTCTGTAGAGGATCGTGGTCTTCCCGGCACCGTCCAGGCCCAAGATCAAGATGCGCATCTCCCGGGAGCCGAGCAATCCGCGAAAGTAGCTTAGCACCCCACCTGGAGAAAGAACGTACGATTTTTATGACCAGACGTCGTCACCGGGTGTCAGCGGATGGGAGGCGTTCTACCCATATAGTTTACAAACCCATGATTACGGCTGAACGTTGTCTAGTGCTGGCGCTGGCCCTAAATGCTTAAGTGTAAACCTAATTAATTGTATTTGGTACTACAATTAATACAAAATCGAAATAATCTTGTTTTCACTTTTTTTTTTGGGAAGAGAATGGTATCGGTTTTGCCATTCACAGGCCACGTGAACATGACGTGTCACAGCGTGCGTTCAGCATACAAATATTTTTTATAAATATAAAAATTTAATTATTTTAAAAACATGTTTAAATATATATAATTCATTTAATTAAATAATATTTCTTATACTCTCAAAAGTAATATCTTAAAAATATTTTCCGTGATCTGTGCTGAACGCGCCCACCATTATTGCCGGTTCACAGAGTTGCCACCCTTGCGTGACTTTTGTTATAGAGACGGCCGCCATTAGAGTTTTGCTGTCGCGTCGCGTTGAGAAAAGTGTGGAAAAACCGTCTAAAAACAGTGCTAATAGGTAATTCTTTCGGGCCCAAATAGATTAATACGACTGCGAACTTCGTGTGCGATAAGCGGGACGTAAAATTCGTCCGTTCTGGCGGTTCTTTTGCTGTTTATTTTGCATTTGCACCAGGCTGCGCAAAAAAGTGTGCCAAAAAACCCATACAAAAAGAGGCATCTTGATGGATTACATATCGTGGCTTTCGGTTCTATAATGTTTTGAAATATAGTGAATTGATGTTTGTTTTGTTTGCAGATAACGCTGCATTAGTTGCGTGGATATAAATCGAAGGATTCTCTTGGATAAAGTACAAGAAAAGGAGCTGAAATATGGCCTCGCCCTCTCCGGCGAACAGTCCCATGCCACCGCCACAGGCGCCCAGTCCGATGGCACCGCCCTCGCAGAGTCCCGCCCCCTCACCGCACAGCCCATATCCGCACCAGCAACCAGGTCCATTGCAAGGACCTCCACCACCTGGCCATCCCGGGGCCTACGGTCATCCCATGCAGCACGGACCACCGGGACAGGGTCCACCCGGCCATCATATGCCGCCGCACCATCAGGGGATGAGTATGTTTATCAGCTAACCTACCCGAAATCCCTCAGTCGCACGTAATTATCCGTAGTTTTCTCAAAAGGTCCTCACATGGGAATGCAGATGCCGCCGACGGGTCCAAATATGTCCCCTATTGGTTACCAAACCCATGGAATGCCACCCAACGTAAGTTAAACATTAATCTTACGGGAACAAAATATATAAAGCTGATTAAGCTATAATTATAAATTGGACCGATAAATTTCAGAACCCAGACTTTAGTTCAATTTTAGTTTTAGGTCCCAAGATTGTTCTTATATGTGTATATTCTTCTTTTCACAAGTATTTCTTTAAGAAACACGATTTGTAAAGTTTTATAAGTATTCAAATCTTTAAAATTTCGGACAAAATTGATCCATTATATATGATTTAGAAACAATCTTGGAATAGTGTAGCACAGAATAGTTTTTAAAAACTTTGCTCGGGAAAGGGATAAGAATACATATAATCTTTACAAAGTTTATAAATTGTTATAAAAATATCGATCTTTACTGTTTATATTCTACGGAGAGGTAAAATTTGCTGGAAATATTTTAAACCAAAGAAAAGTGAAAGTAGCATCATCGTTAACCTTCGTATAAACCCCTTTATTTATTTGGCAGCTTAAGGCTTAAAATTATGGTAACAAAATGTTCTATTGTAAAAAGTTGTTTTTCAAAGTCTTAGTTTAGAGTTGTTTGCTTTCCCGCCTTTTTGTGTATCGTATCCACCAGCTGCCGGCGATCAAAGCTGGAAGATATCTAAAAAGCTTTCAATTAGCAGAGCTTCCAACGTTAACTGAGAGTGCTGCTGACCTCCAAGCTTTTTAATTTAGACTGTTTTTGCCAACAGTTAATTTTGTATATCTTGCTAATATTACTTTGGCACCGGCTTGTCCCCCACCGACTCCTCTTGGTCGGCCTTGCGCAACAGGTCTTCAATTTCTTTGCGCAACTTTTCCGTTCCGGCGCAAATTAGATCAGGTTTCATTATGTCAAAAGGACCACCAAAGGGATGCGTTAATACGCCTCCAGCCTCCTTTACCAACAGGGAACCAGCAGCACAGTCCCAGGGATACATGTCCTCGATGTAAAAGGCATCCAAGTTGCCAGCGGCAACCATGCACAACTCATCCACCACACAGGAATATGCCAAAAGTCTAGGGATAACAATAATTTGTATTAAAGAAATCTTTTAGGTTTGTAAAAACTCTGCAAATTATTCCAAGGTATATGTCTCCGTATATAATATAAATGCAAACATGGAAATTTCTCACATGCTTTGAAATCTTTATATACGTATGTAAGTTGATGAATTTGCATGACTCGTTCAATTAATTCGAAACAAAAACCAATTGAAGCTTTAACTTGTTAATTATTGTGAACCCAGACATTGTTTGTTTTTGTATGCAAAAATATTTTGGAGTTTAATCTTGGATATATATTCTGTCTCTATAGTATTTTGTAATCAAAAATGTATTTATCACTCACCGTCTGGCATTTAATCCCACATGGTAGATCCTCTTGATGTGCTTGTTGGCCACCGAATGGACGTGCAGCAGGGAAACTTCGTAGGCCACATTGGCATTTTTTACACTCTCGCAGCTGCTCACATGAATGGGCTTTCCATTGCAAAAGGCTCCTTGGCCTAATTTCGTTGTGAAGAGTTTCTTCTGGACAGGATTGTTGATCACTCCCACCACAATCTGTTTGTTGATTGCCAAACCAATTGAAACACAAACGTGCGGGATTTGCTTGATAAAATTCGAAGTACCGTCAATGGGATCTATGATCCAAGTTGGATCATCAGTCAGGTCCCCAGATACATTGTTGTTCTTGGCCGTTGCCTCCTCTCCGATGAACTTATGTCCCGGATAGCTAGCCAATATTTTCTCCATAAGAAAATCCTCGATCTTGTTGTCATAATCGGTAACCACGTCGTAGAAATCACCTTTAATTGAGACATTTTTACTGGCCATTTCATAGCCCTCCATTAAAATCTCGCCGGCCTTGATGGCCAGAGGATAGATGAAGTTGTACAATTCCTCAATATCCGCTTGCTTAACTTCTGCCATGTTGCTTCTATATGTATCTCTTGACCAAATTAAAAAACGATCCGCTGTTGCTCAGCTCGCGGTGCCAACTAATCAGAGAGATTGTGCCCGGCTGGAAGTAGCTCCACGCTCCGGCTACTTTGTCTGGGTGGCGCTGGAGCTTTGCTTTTGCTTTTGGTTACATTCAGCAATACATTTATTCTCTGATTGTTTCTCGTTTTTGTTTTGCTTGCATCGAGTTTATGATCGCTGCGACAGCGTCCCAAAGCGTGTACTAAAAATTGGCATCTCAACGTGCTGACTACCTCTCCTTTATCTCAATTTGTTTGATGTACACAAATAGACAGACTCTTTTTTATCTTCATAGACAGCCAGTGTAGTCAAATAGTTGTAAAACCTGTTTTTATCAGCATTTTCCACCGCTCATAGACCTTATTGGATGATTTATATTTTCGGGCTGCAAGTCATTATTGCCAGAAAGACCTTGCAATCGTGGTGGTTTTGTGCTAAAAATTATCAAATCTTTTATATAAAGATCAATCATTTGTCTGCCTATAGACTTTGGTGTATTATGCCTAATAACTTTTGACAAATTAACAAATTATGGCTTTCCTTTCACTTTGGGAATTATGAATCTGTTCATCTATTCATTTGGCATTTTGTTTTGTCAATTTTCGTATTGTTTAATTTTTTCTATAACCCTCAACCTTTGTAATCTAATTTTGGTTTGTAAAAAACATTTGTTTAACCTTTATTAAAACTATTTTTTAGTTTTTATTAAACTTTTTTGGGATCTCTTTTATTCAAAAGTATAACCTGTGATCTGGTCAGCGTCCTTTATTAATTGTATTACATTCTTGGCCAATTCTTCAGTGCTAGTGCACACACAATCAGGCTTCATCACATCAAATCTTGATCCGCTGGTATGATAAACACTGCCACCAGCTTCCCTGAGGATTACGGTGCCGCCTGCCAAATCCCAGGGCTTAAGATTCTCAACATGATAGGCGTCACATCTGCCGGCAGCTATGTAGCAAAGCGTGAGAGCGGCGCATCCGAAGCTGCGAGTGCTGATAGCGAAATGCAGTGTAATTGATGTGGAATAGATCAAAGTTCTATGGGTCACTCACCCAGTGGCACTCGAGGCCAGTTTGTAGAGACGCTTCACATTTTTGTCCCGCCCCTTGGACACCACGATCAGGGAGATCTCATAGCCTACAACAGCTTGGTTTATCTGATCAGGGAGATCTCATAGCCTACAACAGCTTGGTTTATCTGTAAAAATATGTATTTTATTTTGGTTTAGCTTTTAGTAGAGAAATTTAGAATACTTTTCTCGAACTCCACAAAGTAGCTTTTATATTATGTTTTCATTTAACGAATGTTTAGTCACTGTGACTCTTATCTGTTCTAAAAGATTATGCATTATTTCATCAATTTCCTCACACCTACCTCTTTTACGTTAGAAGCCTCAATGGGTTGGCCATTTAAAAAAGCTCCGTGACCTTGCCAAGCAGAATACAATTCGTTTGCCGGTGGATTATAGACAATTCCTAGCACTAGCTCTTTGTTAATGGCCAACCCCACGGAGATACAGCAGTGGGGAATCTTTCGCACATAATTGTTAGTGCCGTCGATGGGATCTATGATCCAAGTAGGATCATCTGTTAATTCTGGATAGTTTTTGGCTTCTGCCAAAGCTTCTTCCGCAATAATTTTTGATTCTGGAAAGGCCTTGAGCAAACCTTCTGAAAGTGTAGCTTCTATTTGTCGATCGTACACAGTGACCAAATCATAGAAAGCCGACTTGATTTCATAATCAGTTTTTGGCTTCTGGAAACCTGCCAGGAAGAGGGGCCCGCACTTTCTTACCAGATCAACGGATATCTGGTAGTATTCTCTAAGTTTTTCCTCACCAATTTTGTAGCTCATGACTTGACTTTCGACTGATCAGAGAGGGAACTATTATTTCTGACCCAAACAGCTGTGAAATAATATTGCCTAAGCTTTTTGCAAAGCTTTTTCCAGTGGTCTTTTGTTAAATTTGTTTTTTTTATAAACTGGAATATTTTTGTTTAATCTCAAGCGATTATAATTTTTACAGTTGAATTACAAATGATAAATGTAGATACTGAGTTTACATACTGACTGGGTTGGTTACTGCTATCATTACTTGAATGTGTACTCTGTAATCTGGTTAGCCTCTTCGATAAGACTAATCACATTTTTGGCCAACTCCGGCGTGGCGGCACAGACGCAATCCGGTTTCATCACATCGAATTTAGATCCGCTGGTATGGCAAATAGTTCCACCGGCTTCGGTCAGGATTATGGCTCCGGCAGCTATGTCCCAGGGTTTCAGATCCTCCACATGATAGGTATCGCACTGACCCGTAGCCACATAGCAAAGGGTTAGGGCAGCACTTCCAAAACACCGCGTTCCCGTGGCATTTGAGGCCATCTTGTATAGTCTCTTCACATTCTTGTCCCTCACTCCAGCGGCATGAATCAGGGAGATTTCGTATGCAATCACCGCCTGGTTGATCTGGAAATGGGGAATATAATAAAATTGAGAGAAGAGCTTTTTATATGGGGTAATGTTAATCAATTAATGATATTCTCACGGGTGCACAGAAAGAAAACTGGTTAGGAAACCTTATAAAATATATAAACCTTATAATATAATAATATATATATGACGAACTGTAGTAAAGATAAAATATTTGATTAATAGAATGAGATGTTTTTAAAGCCGTCAAATTGTTAAAACTGTAAACGATATTCTTATCTCTCTTACTTTAACCAATATTTTTTTCCGTGCACCGATAAACCTGAGTGCAGGCAAAATGACATGCACGGTTATTTGTTAAATTTCGTTTATCTTGTTTGTTGCTCCCCAATTATATAAGCACTCTCTCTTACCTTCGTCACTTTGGATGTGTGGATGGGCTGGCCATTTAAGTAGGCTCCATGTCCCTTATAGGCGGAAAAAAGTTCATTTGCCGGTGGATTGTAAATGATGCCTACAACCAGCTCCTTGTTAATGGCTAGGCCCACGGAAATACAGCAGTGGGGTATGCGGTGGATGAAATTAGTGGTGCCATCGATGGGATCTATGATCCATGTGGGTGCATCCGTTAGTTCCGCTTGCCGCTTCGAGGCTGCCGACTCCTCTTCACCAATAATTAGGGATTCAGGAAAGGCGGCTACCAACCCTTCAGTTAGGATATCCTCAATTTGTTTGTCATAAACAGTGACCAAATCATAGAAGTCCGCCTTGACCTTGTAGTCCGTCTTGGCCTTCTGGTAGCCCTCCTGCATCAGAGGTCCACACTTGAGGACCAGCTTCATGGCCACATCGTAGTACTCCTTGAGCTTGGACTCGCTGACCGGGGAACTCATCGCTATTTCTGCTGATTGCCGACTGAACGACAGAACTATATCAAACGCCAAACAGCTGTGGAATAAATACGACGCGAGAGGAGAGCTTTTCGCGGAAGCTTTCTTCGATGCAACAGAACTTTGGACACATGGGAGAGCGGCGATAGAGTTGCCGACGAACTACTATTGTTTAGGATTGGGTGTGTTTATACATTGGTGGCCAGGCGATTAGGAACACGGCAACATATTTACGACTTTTTTCAAAAGTAATTACTCAGAACTCATCAATTAATAAATCAATTAAAGTTATATTATAAATATATTGGTGTTGATTTCTAGGAGCAATAAATTGGGAAATACGCTGAATATATAGGCAATGCAGAAGAAGTTTCGTAGAAAATGAAATTCAAGTTTATAACCTTGACAATTTTGGCCTGTGAATAATACCATAAAAAAAAACATGTATAAGTGATAAGAATCATTTATATAACTCGGGATTATCCAGAATATATGCTAGCATTACAGCTATATCCATGTCAATAGTGTGTTTGCATGATGAGTTGTCGAATCTTCTTTCTATTTTTATGTTATTAAAGTTTGCCTTGTGTGGGGTGTAATTATTGTTATGATGACATGGATTAACATTCGATTTAATCTGTGTTTGCATGATGATTCCAAGGATCCCTTATCATTGCCCGATTTAAATTAAATTCAGTTTTATGTTGACCATTAGACGGTATTCTTGTTTACAGATGCTATTAGGGCTTTAAATCTCACTCCTCGCCCACATGTGGCTCCTTATCAGCCTTTCGAATTAGTTGCTCTATCTCAGATCTTAGAGTCTCCGTTCCGGCACAGATTAAATCTGGCTTCATAATATCGAATGGACCACCATAGGGATGGGTAACCACACCGCCAGCCTCACGGATTAGCAAATAACCAGCTGCACAGTCCCAAGGATACATATCCTCAATGTGGAAGGCATCCAAGTTACCAGCGGCAACCATGCAAAGTGAATCTACCACAGCTGAATAGGCGAGAAGCCTGGAAAGGATTAAAAAAAAGGATAATAAAATGTCCAATAGTTTGATATTTGTTCACCCACCTTCTGGCATTGGAACCCACATGGTAGATTCTCTTTATGTGCTTATTCCGGATTTTTGGAGCATGCAACAAGCACACTTCATATGCCACATTGGCATCGTTGATATGTTCACAGCTGCTCACATGGATGGGTTTCCCATTGCAAAAGGCACCCTGACCCAATTTGGCAGTGTACAGCTTGTTCTGGGCAGGATTATTAACCACTCCAATAACAATCTGTTTCTTAATTGACAAACCAATAGAAACCGAGACGTGAGGAATTTGTTTGATAAAGTTGGAGGTGCCATCGATGGGATCTATGATCCAGGTGGGAGCGTCCGTCAGCTCCTTGGTCACATTGTTATTCTTGTGGGTATCCTCCTCGCCAATAAACTTGTGATCCGGATAACTTTCCAATATCTTGTCCATGAGAAATTCTTCGATCTGATTGTCATAGGCAGTGACTACATTGTAGAATTCCCCATCCTTGAGATCCACCGCTTTTCCTGCATTCTGATAGCCCTCAAGCAGGATTTCTCCAGCTCGTACTGCCAGTGGATAGATGAACTCGTACAGCTCCTCGATCTGTGACTTGCTGGCTGCCATCTCGGTTCTTTCTCCCTTTCACTTATCTCTGCTATCTTAATAGATATTATTGCCGTATATTGCCTTTTCCGACGTCGCTTAGAGTGAATCGAGTCGAGTACTGAGCACAGTCAACAGTGGAACGGGTTTTTGTCAGATTCAGTAACTTGGTTCACTGACTGCCATCCACTAACTGATATTCTGGGCGAGAGGGAGCTTTTTTTTTTAATTTATTTGCACTTGAAGTCAGCTTTTGCACATAATGGAATAAGCAGTACGTTTAACTTAAGATTTGCATAATGTTAAAGTTAAGATCTCGACTATTTTAAATATTTTAATATTTCATAAAATTTCTATTAATACCTTAAGGAAATTTAAACTACCTTTCTTAATTAATCAATTTATTTTTCTTTCCTACATTTTTCAGGCTCCCACGCAACCCTGCATAGTGTCACCTGGTGGTCCACCTGGCGGTCCGCCACCCCCGGAGCGATCTAGCCAAGAGAACCTTCACGCCCTTCAACGCGCCATTGATTCAATGGAAGAAAAGGGTCTGCAAGAAGATCCCCGCTACTCCCAGCTTTTGGCAATGCGGGCCACCTCAAAGCATCAGCATCTCAATGGCAACCAGGTTAACCTGCTGCGCACACAGATCACCGCCTACCGATTGCTTGCGAGAAACAAGCCTATTTCCATGCAGATGCAGCAGGCGCTTCAGGCGGCACAGCAACAACCACCGCCAGGACCACCGATTGGACCACCCGGGGCACCAAGTGGGCCGCCACCAGGGAGTCAACATGCTGGTCAACCGCCTGTGCAGTCACAACAGCAGCAACAACCGCCCCCATCAGCGGGAACACCGCCGCAGTGCTCCACACCACCTGCTAGCAATCCTTATGGTCCGCCAGTTCCTGGCCAGAAGATGCAGGTAGCTCCTCCGCCACCGCACATGCAGCAGGGCCAGCCTTTGCCTCCACAACCCCCGCAGGTTGGTGGACCTCCACCCATACAGCAGCAACCACCACCACAGCAACAACAACAGCAACCGCAAGCACCGCCACCGGAGCAACTGCAGCACCAGCTGCCAAACGGAGGCAAACCCCTCAGCATGGGACCCGCAGGAGGGCAGCCGCTTATACCAGCGTCGCCTATGCAGCCGCAAGTGAGGGGTGCCCTGCCAGGAATGCCGCCTGGCAGTCAGGTTCCACAGCCAGGTGGAGGCCCTCCTCGACAGGTACCTCCGGCAGGCATGCCCATGCCAAAACCGAATCGCATCACAACAGTGGCCAAGCCTGTGGGTCTGGATCCCATTACATTGCTACAAGAAAGGGAAAATAGGATAGCAGCCAGGATATCATTACGCATGCAGGAATTACAGCGTCTGCCTGCCACTATGTCCGAGGATCTGCGTCTGCAGGCGGCCATCGAGTTGAGGGCCCTGAGGGTCTTGAATTTCCAGAGGCAGCTGCGTATGGAATTTGTCCAGTGCACGAGAAGAGATACAACTTTGGAGACAGCGTTAAATATTAAGTTCTATAAGCGGACCAAGCGACAGGGTCTGCGGGAGGCGCGTGCCACCGAAAAACTGGAAAAGCAACAGAAGCTAGAGGCTGAACGGAAGCGCCGGCAAAAGCATCTGGAGTTCCTTGCCGCGGTGCTTCAGCACGGCAAGGACCTAAGAGAGTTCCACAGAAATAATAAGGTAAGTAGAATCAAAATTATTTTCAAAAGACGTAACCTAATTTATGTTTTCTTTGTCCACTAGGCCCAGCTTGCCAGGATGAATAAGGCAGTGATGAATCATCATGCGAATGCAGAGCGCGAGCAGAAGAAAGAACAGGAGCGCATTGAGAAGGAACGTATGCGCCGCCTGATGGCCGAGGATGAGGAGGGTTACCGAAAACTGATTGATCAAAAGAAGGACAAACGATTGGCCTTCCTGCTATCGCAGACAGACGAGTACATCAGCAACCTCACTCAGATGGTGAAGCAGCACAAGGACGATCAGATGAAAAAGAAGGAGGAGGAAGGCAAGCGGCTGATATTGTTCAAAAAGGAGCTGCTGATGAGCGGCGAGTATATAGGAATCGATGAGGGTAGCATTGTGGCAGATATGCGTGTTCATGTGGTGGAGCAGTGCACGGGCAAGAAACTCACGGGCGATGATGCTCCTATGCTGAAGCACTTGCACCGCTGGCTAAACATGCATCCTGGCTGGGATTGGATTGACGATGAGGAAGACAGCTGTGGCAGCAGTGAAGATCATAAACCTAAGGTTGAAGAGCAGCCCACGGCAGCGGAGGATGTTACCGACAAGGCACAACCAGCTGGAGGCGAAGAAGATCCCAAGGATCTGATTACCAAGGCCAAGGTGGAGGACGATGAGTACAGGACGGAAGAGCAGACCTACTATAGTATTGCTCACACCATTCATGAAAAGGTTGTTGAGCAGGCTAGCATTATGGTGAATGGAACGCTGAAGGAGTATCAGATTAAGGGTTTGGAGTGGTTGGTCTCGCTCTACAATAACAATCTGAATGGTATTCTGGCCGATGAAATGGGTTTGGGTAAAACCATTCAGACCATTTCGCTGGTAACCTATCTGATGGATCGCAAGAAGGTTATGGGTCCCTACCTAATTATTGTCCCACTCTCGACCTTACCCAATTGGGTGCTGGAATTTGAAAAGTGGGCACCAGCAGTCGGTGTGGTTAGCTACAAGGGTAGCCCACAGGGACGGCGATTGCTGCAAAATCAAATGCGAGCAACCAAGTTTAATGTGCTGTTGACCACCTATGAGTACGTGATCAAGGACAAAGCGGTGCTGGCTAAGATCCAGTGGAAGTACATGATCATTGACGAGGGTCACCGAATGAAGAACCACCATTGCAAACTTACCCAGGTGCTGAACACCCACTACATTGCTCCTTATCGGTTACTACTTACGGGTACACCTCTGCAAAACAAACTACCCGAGTTGTGGGCGCTACTTAATTTCTTGCTGCCCTCCATCTTTAAATCTTGCTCAACATTTGAGCAGTGGTTTAATGCTCCATTTGCCACGACCGGAGAGAAGGTCGAGCTAAACGAAGAGGAAACCATCCTTATCATTCGCCGTCTGCACAAGGTGCTGCGTCCTTTCCTATTGCGTCGCCTCAAAAAAGAGGTGGAGCACCAGCTGCCCGACAAGGTCGAGTATATCATAAAGTGCGACATGTCCGCCCTGCAAAGGGTTCTATACAAGCACATGCAGAGCAAGGGCGTTCTTCTTACCGACGGATCCGAGAAGGGTAAACACGGCAAGGGCGGAGCCAAGGCGCTTATGAACACGATCGTCCAACTACGAAAGCTGTGTAACCATCCGTTTATGTTCCAGCACATCGAGGAGAAGTATTGCGACCACACTGGAGGTCATGGTGTGGTGTCAGGTAAGTTCGGTTTATAAATTTTCTAAGCACATTCACTTAATTATTTTAATTTTCGCATTTTAGGACCCGATCTATATCGTGTATCTGGAAAATTCGAGCTGCTTGATCGCATCCTTCCCAAGCTGAAGGCCACCAACCATCGCGTTCTGCTTTTCTGTCAGATGACCCAGTGCATGACCATCATAGAAGACTATTTGGGATGGCGCCAGTTTGGTTACCTTAGACTAGACGGTACCACCAAGGCCGAGGATCGTGGTGAGCTGCTGCGCAAGTTCAACGCCAAGGGGTCGGACGTGTTTGTCTTCCTACTATCCACTCGAGCTGGTGGTTTGGGTCTCAATCTGCAGACTGCAGATACTGTAGTAATCTTTGACTCCGATTGGAATCCCCATCAGGATCTGCAGGCACAGGATCGTGCCCATCGTATTGGACAACGTAACGAGGTGCGCGTTCTACGTCTAATGACAGTCAACTCGGTGGAGGAACGTATTTTGGCTGCCGCCAGATACAAGCTGAACATGGACGAAAAGGTCATTCAGGCTGGTATGTTTGATCAAAAATCAACTGGTAGCGAGCGGCAGCAGTTCCTCCAGACTATTCTGCATCAGGACGACAACGAGGAGGAGGAAGAAAATGAGGTGCCAGATGACGAAATGATCAACATGATGATTGCTCGTAGCGAGGAGGAGATCGAAATCTTCAAGCGCATGGATGCGGAAAGAAAGAAGGAAGACGAAGAAATCCATCCAGGAAGGGAACGTCTAATCGACGAGTCCGAGTTACCCGATTGGTTGACAAAGGACGACGACGAGGTAGAGCGTTTCCACTATCAATACGACGAGGATACAATTCTGGGTAAGTTATAGTGTTAATATCTACGTATTTATTGAACTAACAATTTTTGTTATACCATCTTAGGTCGCGGCTCCCGGCAGCGAAAGGAGGTCGACTATACGGACAGTTTGACAGAGAAGGAGTGGTTGAAAGCCATCGACGATGGTGCTGAGTTCGACGAGGAAGAGGAGGAAGATGATTCCAAGCGCAAACGACGCAAACGTAAAAATCGGAAGGAAGAGTCCGACGACGATTCGCTAATCTTGAAGAGGCGGCGACGCCAAAACCTGGACAAGCGATCTAAGAAGCAGATGCACAAGATTATGAGTGCGGTGATTAAGCACAACCAAGATGGACGCACTCTGTCCGAGCCATTCATGAAGTTGCCGTCGCGCCAGCGGTTGCCCGACTACTACGAAATCATCAAGCGGCCTGTGGACATTAAGAAAATCCTGCAGCGGATCGAGGACTGCAAATATGCTGATCTCAACGAGCTCGAGAAGGACTTTATGCAGCTGTGTCAGAATGCACAGATCTACAACGAAGAGGCCTCCCTGATCTACCTGGATTCGATAGCCCTGCAAAAGGTATTCGTCGGGGCCAGACAACGGGTAACAGCAGCTGCAGATGCAGCCGCAGTAGCAGCCGGAGATAATACGGGTGAAGCACATGGAAATGGCGGGGGCTCCGATAACTCGGACAACGACGATGATGATGGTGGGGATGACAACTCCGACGACGAGGAAATTGCTACCACATCCGCGGCTGCTGTTAAAATGAAGTTGAAACTAAACAAATCTCTGGCCAGTGCTCCGTCAACGCCCACGCAATCATCGTCGCATGTGGGCAGCGGAGCAGCCACCACATCCAAGAAGCAGACGCGTCGCAAACGGTCTCAAAAGAAATACACTATTTCGGACGACGACGACGATGACATGGACTAGCTACCGTTGGGAGTGATCTTTAAGCGCAGATCGTCAGATGTCGAAGGCATGGGCAATTGATTTTTAGTTAGCTTAAGTTTAAACCCTTTCGAGGATGATGCTTACCAAAACCCTTTGATGAGAGTTTTCTGAACCATCTACCCTCCCTATCAGGCTTTCTATTCATATTTCCTAGTTGTAGGTTCAATTATGCACGCACACAAGATTTATTTCTCCCAATTCTATTGATTGTATATTTTCGTGCTTTAAAATAAATTCATACTTAACATAAAATTAATCGGACACAATTTGAGATAGGCTGTAAAAAGTCTCTGGTTTTGAGTAAAAAAATGGGAAATCCAAGAACCAATACGACTTAAATATTTGGCGAAGTCCCGGAATTTGGCGAAGTGCAGAGAGCTTAGCCGGATGCTTATTCGACAGTGATTGAAAGGATCGTAGCTGCATCGTATCCAATACTGACGTACAGTTGATCAACCTTATCACAGACTGTCCGGCCGTAGAGCAGACCATTGGATATATCTTTACATCAGGATCCACGGGTACATTGGTAAATGCCACACCTAAACTCGTTCGGTTCAAATAAAACTCTATGTGGCCGCGTGAACGATCCAAGTAGACACCAATCAGAGTGCCCTGGGAAAAACTGTGGCAGTAGGACACCCGTTTGCCGCCATGTTGGAGCCGCCCGAAGTATGAGAGACCCCAGGAATGAGCATCAAGACCCAACCCTGAGACATATCTGAAGTCATACTGTCCGAGGTCTAGGTTTTGAGTACCTATACCAAACATCTGGAAAGAAGAAATTAAATTACAGATCAATGGTAAGGCACAATTTTTCCATCTTATCGGTTGAGTTAAGCCGGGTATAAAGAGTTGATAACCCGGCCCGACTTACCACATCAGTACCGAATAGAGGAGAGACTGCGAGCATTTCCCAATAATGTATCATGCCTGGTTGCAGACTCTGCTTTCCCTTCACAATCGCGGTTCCCCGACTTCGGGAATGGTGGAAAACTATGTCTTTACCAAGGACCATTACATCCAAGTTTTCAGAGTCGTCCCATTGCCAGGGATATTCACCGACGTACTCGCCGCAACGACACTTTAACAAATCAGGTATATGGCCTTTGCAGCGGGCTATTTCTATAGAGCTAGGGAACGAGCAGTCGCAAAATTTGTAAGCCATGACACCGTTTCTTCAGAGTCCACCAAATTATATATGATAATAATTCTTTGTAGGATAGGAAACACTTCTGATCACACCAGAGTTTTGATTCTGACTGAATGATATTTTCCAAAAACAAGATAATGCTAGTCATAGTGTTTGACGCAAATTTCTTAAATGGGCATGATTTGAAACTATTATTATGTGTCAAAAAAATAGTGTCAAATATTGTAACTGTCTGAAGTTAACTTTCAAACTAGTTAAATATTAGATTCAGATTAACAGATAAAATCCAAACAAACAATATTTCTATTTTGTTTATGATTTCGATTTCTTTTAATTTACAAGTCGACTTTTAAAAAGTTCAAACAACGTATGTAAATACAACGTTATTTTAACAATTCTACATAATACACTTATAACACTTCTTCAAATAAATGCACATTTAAATAATTTGATATGTTTCGAAGTGTTACAATAGGTAGTGGAAGTATTCGTCGCACATCTCGTGGACGGATGCGGGGTGCTCCTCGTCCCCGCTATCACTGCTCCGTAACGTGATCTTGTGGGCATTGGCGTACAAGTCGTCCTCGTCAACGGCCGCATCGTCAGATTCTATTGATTGCAATAATGGAAAGAGTGATTAATTAGATCGAAAACATGTAGTAAGAGACTTACCTCGGTATTTTTGTTTGCGCCCTCGTCTTAGCTTGGAGCTAGAGAGTACCGCCTCGTCGCCCAGATCCAATTCGTTTTCGCGGGAGTTCCGGGAATAACGAATTGGCGGCGCTAGGAACCAGTAGGACTGTAGGATACCCCTGAGACCCGGCATTTGACGTAGTTCAGCTAGCTTGAGCGGCTGCTTGGACAAAGCTTGGAAGGAACGCAGCTGCAGCGTCACCTGTTGCGACGTGCAGTTGATAAGCCTTATCACAGACTTGGCTGCCGTCGAGCAGACCATAGGATATATTCTTATATCCGGATCCGTAGGCACATTGGTGTAGGCTACACCCAGAGATCTGCGGTTCAGATAGAACTCCAGATGGCCTCGCGTTCGATCCAAACAGACTCCTATTAGGCAACCCTGCGAGAACTTCTGACCGTATGGCAGCTGCTCACCGCAGTGCTGAATCCGACCGGAATACGAGAAGCCCCAGGACTGGGCATTGGTGCCCAGAGCCGAGACAAAGTGGAACTTGAATTGCCCTAGATTAACGCTCTCCGTACCGATGCCGAACATCTAGAAAAAAAGGGAAGCCGATTACAAAGAGACGTATTGTTTACATTGAACTTTTGCTGGCTTATCATCTAGTTGGACTGTCTAGTGAGATTTCCTCGTCCCTGCGCATCTGTTATCTTATCGTCGCGTTGTAATCTGTAATCCGTAGTACAATGATGCGAACAATTAAGTCGTCTCCAATGGAATTGAGTACACCAGATGCCTAGCAGGCACTGTGCTATTTTAAGGCGGCGACTTTGACTGACATTCATCTCGCGGAACATTCCAACTAGTTGTCAAGCCGGGCTGATAACTCACCACATCTGTGCCGGCTAAAGTCGTGATGACGCGCATTTCCCAAAAGTGGACCATGCCTGGTTTAAGGGCCCGATCTCCCCTAACAATCGCGGTACCTTGGCTGTATGTGGGATGAAAGATAATGTCCCGGTCGGTAACTAAGGCATCAGATTCGTCTGTGGAGTGCCATCTCCATGGACTAACATTGCCAGGCTCATCCTCGCCGCATCGGCAACTGACCAGGTCGGGAATGTGACCCTTGTGATTGGTGACCTCGATGGAATTGGGGAACGGACAATCACAAAAGCCGGGATTGCAGACTTCCTGGTGCGGGGGTAGTAACATTGTGTTTCTCTGATGTTTCCCTTCTGTTTACCCGATGCTTATGCTTTGTGACAACCGTGTGCAATGATCTCGAACAGTCGACGGACCTCAAATGTTTCCAGTTAAACCAGCTGCAGCCTCATATATAAGCTCATTTTTGATGTGACTGAACAATAAACAAAAACGATGCGCTGTAAATAGACGTCAGCGTCGCTGCCTGCGTCGCAATTAGTGTGACCAAATAGATCATTTTGAGCGGGAAATAAGAAAAATACTAGCTACATTTTTAATAATATAGCAGTTGAACACATAATAATTAATCTTTGTGACTATTTTTTAAAAAATATTCAAATAAAATTAGATTTTAAAATAAAAATGCCTTAAATAAACAAACCTATCAATTTTGAAAAATACCATAAAATAAATACCTAATAGTTTTGTGTGAATGCCACTTTCATGTGAATGCCTTAATGTGCAACTCTGTGTGGTGGCCAACCACAAACAGCGGCTTTTCACTGTAATTTTACTGGAAAATCTATAAAAATAGGTTAATTTAAGTAATAAATACCTGTGCAAAGAATTAAACAGACATGGCGGATGCCGCAGCTCGTCAGCTGCAGTACGAGTACAAGGCGGTAAGTACTAAATCCCGTCCGGAAAAAACTTTCCCACTCCATGCGGCGTCTTTGCCGAATTTCACAAACATACGAATAAAATGTGTTTTTTTTTTTCAGAACTCCAATCTTGTGCTGCAAGCCGATGTCCGACTCATCGAACGACCGCGACGGGATGAGGCCACCGGAGAAGTGTGTTCTTTGGTGGGAAAGCTTGACGGAACTCGGATGGGTGATCGTTACCAGCGAACGAAGCCGGAGAAAACAGAGGAGCGCAAGGTGAAGCGCCAAAAGCGAGATGAGGCTCAGTATGATTTCGAGCGGATGAAGGGAGCCACTTTGCTTTCCGAGGGCATCGACGAAATGGTGGGCATTGTCTATCGACCCAAGACCCAAGAAACTCGCCAGACTTACGAGGTACTACTCAGTTTCATCCAAGAGGCTCTAGGGGATCAGCCCAGAGACATCCTGTGCGGTGCCGCCGACGAAATTCTTGCTGTGTTAAAAAATGATCGCCTGAAGGATCGGGAGCGAAAAAGAGATGTGGACAGTCTGCTAGGTGCAGTCACCGATGAGCGCTTTGCCCTGCTGGTTAACTTAGGCAAGAAGATCACAGATTTTGGCAGCGATGCGGTAAATGCGTTGACAGCAGCTCCCAACAACGAGGAGCAGATCGATGAAACTTACGGCATCAATGTGCAATTTGAGGAATCCGAAGAGGAGAGCGACAACGATATGTATGGCGAGATTCGCGATGATGACGCCCAGGATGAAGGCGAGGAAGCGCGCATTGATCATACCCTGCATGCAGAGAATGTAAGATATAAAACAAATGTGGGGATTCCTATTAATAATACATATTTTCTTTTCCAGTTAGCCAACGAGGAAGCTGCCAATAATGTAAAGAAAGAGCGCTCTTTGCATCCTTTGGACATTGATGCCTATTGGCTACAGCGTTGCCTGAGCAAGTTCTACAAGGATGCCATGGTGTCGCAGAGCAAGTCTGCTGATGTGCTCAAGATCCTCAAGGATGCCGCCGACGATCGCGATTGTGAAAACCAGTTGGTGCTGCTGCTGGGCTACGACTGTTTTGACTTCATCAAACAGTTAAAGCTCAACCGCCAGATGGTATTGTACTGCACCATGTTGGCCTCTGCTCAAACAGACAGCGAACGTCAAAGAATTCGCGAAAAGATGCGGGGTAATTCAACGCTGGCCAAGATTCTGCGGCAATTGGACACAGGAAAGTCCGAGGAGCAGGACGAGGGCGAGGCGCGTGGCAATAAGAGAGGCAAAGGAGATGCTGAAGATGGTGGAGCGGCGGCTGCAGGTCAAGTAGCCGGTGTGCGGCAGCTGCTCGAGTTAGAAGAGATGGCTTTCACTCAGGGATCCCATTTTATGGCCAACAAGCGCTGCCAGTTGCCAGATGGATCCTACAGGAAACAACGCAAGGGATACGAAGAGGTGCATGTGCCTGCTCTGAAGCCAGTACCTTTCGATGCCAACGAGGAACTTCAGCCAGTGGACAAGCTCCCGAAATACGTCCAGCCTGTGTTCGAAGGTTTCAAGACCTTGAATCGTATTCAAAGTCGTTTGTACAAGGCCGCATTGGATAGTGATGAAAATATGTTGCTGTGTGCCCCTACTGGAGCTGGTAAAACTAACGTGGCTTTGCTTACAATGATGCGGGAGATTGGCAAGCACATCAATGAGGACGGCACCATCAATGCACAGGATTTCAAGATCATCTACGTGGCTCCTATGAAATCGTTGGTGCAGGAAATGGTGGGTAACTTTGGACGACGCCTTGCCTGCTATAATCTGACTGTCTCTGAGTTGACTGGAGATCACCAGCTGACAAGGGAGCAGATTGCAGCCACCCAGGTGATTGTGTGCACGCCAGAGAAGTGGGATATCATTACTCGTAAGGGAGGAGAGCGTACCTTTGTGAGCTTAGTGCGATTGGTAATCATCGATGAGATCCATCTGCTTCATGACGAGCGTGGTCCAGTACTGGAGGCCCTGGTGGCACGAACAATAAGAAACATTGAGACCACCCAGGAGGAAGTGCGATTAGTGGGACTTTCGGCTACACTACCAAACTATCAGGACGTCGCAACCTTCTTACGCGTCAAGCCCGATAAAGGCCTCTTCTACTTTGATAACAGCTACAGGCCAGTGTCCTTGGAGCAGCAGTATATTGGTGTGACGGAAAAGAAGGCTCTGAAGCGCTTCCAGGTGATGAACGAGATTGTTTACGAAAAGACCATGGAGCATGCTGGGCGGAATCAGGTGCTTGTTTTTGTACATTCACGAAAGGAGACTGGAAAAACGGCCAGGGCTGTAAGGGACATGTGCCTGGAGCAAGATACCCTTGGTAGCTTCTTAAGGGAAGGGTCTGCCAGCATGGAAGTGCTGCGCACTGAAGCAGAGCAAGTGAAGAACACAGAGCTAAAAGAGCTGCTGCCCTACGGATTCGCCATTCATCATGCTGGAATGACGCGCGTTGATCGTACCCTGGTGGAAGATCTTTTCGCGGATCGGCATATTCAGGTTCTAGTTTCCACGGCCACTCTAGCTTGGGGTGTGAATCTCCCAGCTCATACGGTAATCATCAAGGGAACGCAGGTCTACAATCCGGAAAAAGGACGCTGGGTGGAGCTGAGTGCTTTGGATGTCCTTCAGATGTTGGGTCGTGCCGGAAGACCGCAGTATGACACCAAGGGTGAGGGTATTCTTATAACCAATCACAGTGAGCTGCAGTTTTATCTCTCTCTGCTCAACCAGCAGTTGCCAATTGAGTCGCAATTTATCTCTAAGCTGCCTGACATGCTGAATGCTGAGATTGTGTTGGGAACCGTCCAACATTTACAGGATGCAGTTAATTGGTTGGGGTACACATATTTGTACATCAGAATGCTCAGGAATCCCACGCTGTATGGAGTATCGCACGACGCTATAAAGGCGGATCCTCTGTTGGAGCAGCATCGCGCAGATCTCTTGCATACCGCTGCTTGCTGTCTGGAGAGGAGTGGCCTTGTAAAATACGATCGAAAGACAGGACATTTCCAAGTTACAGATCTGGGACGCATTGCCTCTCACTATTACCTAACACACGAAACTATGCTGACTTACAACCAACTGCTAAAGCAAACTCTCAGCGAGATTGAGCTATTCCGTGTGTTCTCTTTATCCTCAGAGTTCCGTCACATTTCTGTCAGAGAAGAAGAAAAGTTAGAGCTGCAAAAGCTAATGGAACGAGTGCCCATTCCCATTAAGGAGTCTATTGAGGAGCATAGCGCAAAGGTTAATGTTTTGTTGCAAGCCTACATATCCCAATTGAAACTGGAGGGCTTTGCCCTGATGTCGGACATGGTATTCATTACCCAATCCGCAGCTCGTTTGATGAGGGCTATCTTTGAAATTGTGTTGACCCGCGGATGGGCTCAATTGGCGGACAAAACGTTGACGCTCTGCAAAATGATCGATCGGAGGATGTGGCAATCGATGACTCCACTTAGACAGTTTAAGAAGATGCCCGATGAGATTGCCAAGAAGCTGGAGAAGAAGCACTTTCCTTGGGGCCGGCTTTATGACTTGGAGCCCCATGAACTGGGTGAGCTTATCAGAGTGCCCAAACTAGGAAAGACCATTCACAAATTTGTACACCAGTTTCCCAAGTTGGAGCTTTCCACGCACATTCAGCCCATAACAAGGGGAACACTAAGAGTGGAACTTACCATCACACCAGATTTCCAATGGGATGAGAAGGTGCATGGCCAGTCAGAAGGTTTTTGGGTGTTGATAGAAGATGTGGACTCTGAACTCATTCTGCATCACGAGTTCTTCCTATTAAAGCAAAAGTACTCCCAAGATGAACATCAGTTGAAGTTCTTTGTGCCTGTTTTCGAGCCGCTACCGCCGCAATACTTCTTGCGAATTGTTTCGGATCGCTGGATTGGAGCAGAGACACAGTTGCCAGTCTCCTTCCGACACTTGATTCTGCCGGAAAAGAATATGCCACCTACGGAGCTGTTGGATCTGCAGCCTCTCCCCATTAGTGCCCTCCGCCAGCCTAAGTTTGAATCGTTTTACTCGCAACGGTTCCCACAATTCAATCCTATCCAGACACAGGTCTTTAATGCCGTCTACAATAGTGATGAGAACGTTTTTGTTGGAGCTCCAACCGGATCTGGAAAGATGACCATTGCAGAGTTTGCCATTATGCGCTTGTTCACCACTCAATCAGATGCTCGTTGTGTCTATTTAGTTTCGCAAGATGCTTTGGCAGATCTAGTCTTCACAGATTGGCACAACAAGTTTGGTTCCCTGGACATAAAAGTGGTTAAATTGACTGGTGAAACTGGAACCGATCTGAAATTGATTGCGAAGGGACAGCTGGTTATCACTACAGCAGATAAATGGGATGTGTTGTCACGCAGATGGAAGCAGAGGAAGAACGTCCAACTAGTGAACCTTTTCATTGTGGACGAACTTCAGTTGGTTGGTGGAGAGGATGGCCCTGTGTTGGAAATTGTGTGCTCTAGGATGCGCTACATTAGCTCGCAGATTGAGAAACAGATCAGGATAGTAGCCTTGTCCGCCTCGCTGACCGATGCTAGGGATGTGGCCCAGTGGTTGGGCTGCAATCCCAATGCCACATTTAACTTCCACCCAAGCGTGCGTCCCATTCCATTAGAGCTGCACATCCAAGGTTTTAATGTCACCCACAACGCCACCAGAATTGCCACAATGTCCAAGCCGGTTTACAATGCCATACTCAAGTATAGCGCCCACAAGCCTGTGATCGTATTCGTATCGTCCAGAAAGCAGGCCAGACTGACGGCTATTGATGTCCTGACCTACGCTGCCTCGGATTTGCAACCGAACAGGTTCTTCCATGCAGAAGAGGAGGATATCAAACCGTTCCTGGAGCGAATGACAGATAAAACTCTGAAGGAGACCCTAGCTCAAGGAGTGGCATATCTTCATGAAGGTTTATCCTCCTCCGATCATCGACTGGTGGAACAACTTTTTGACTCTGGCGCTGTGCAAGTTGCAGTTGTCTCTAGGGATCTTTGCTGGGGAATGAGCATCTCTGCTCACTTGGTGATCATTATGGACACACAATTCTATAACGGCAAGAATCATTCGTATGAGGATTATCCCATCACCGATGTGCTGCAGATGATTGGACGAGCCAATCGACCCAACGAAGATACCGATGCCAAATGCGTATTGATGTGCCAGAGCAGCAAGAAGGACTTCTTTAAGAAGTTCATCAACGAGCCGCTACCCATCGAAAGTCATTTGGACCACCGAATGCACGATCACTTCAATGCCGAGGTGGTGACTAAGACGATTGAGAACAAGCAGGATGCTGTGGACTATCTCACCTGGACGTTCCTGTACAGGAGATTGACCCAAAATCCCAATTACTATAATCTCCAGGGTGTCACACATCGACATCTCTCCGATCATCTTTCGGAGTTGGTGGAGAACACACTGAGCGATCTGGAGCAGTCTAAATGTATCAGCGTGGAGGATGATATGGATACATTACCACTCAATCTGGGCATGATTGCGGCATATTATTACATTAACTATACAACAATTGGTAAGAAGGAGTATATTTAATTTTAATCATTTTCATTTCATTAATTCAATTTATTTTTATTCTTTAGAACTCTTCAGTTTGTCCCTCAACAGCAAAACGAAAGTGCGCGGCCTGCTTGAGATCATTTCATCGGCTGCTGAATACGAGGATATTGTTGTCAGGCATCATGAAGAGCAGGTTCTGCGCACGTTGTCCCAGCGTTTGCCTAACAAACTTACTGGTCCTAATGAAACGGCACCAAAGTAAGCTGAGCCATTAACCAATTATTTAAAAATAAAATAACCAATTTCATTTTAGGTTCAATGATCCGCATATTAAGACCAATTTGCTGCTCCAAGCTCATCTTTCGAGATTGCAGTTGGGGCCTGAATTGCAAGGAGATACGGAACAGATATTAAGCAAGGCCATCCGGCTCATCCAGGCCTGTGTTGATGTGCTGAGTTCCAATGGCTGGCTCTCCCCGGCTGTGGCGGCCATGGAGCTGGCACAGATGGTAACGCAGGCCATGTGGAGCAAGGACTCTTATTTGAAACAGTTGCCGCACTTTAGTCCCGAGATTGTCAAGCGGTGTACAGAAAAGGTAAAAATAAAAAAACTCATCATTCCCTTTAAGTTTCTAATATGTTTCGTTGTTTGTTGCAGAAAATCGAAACCGTTTTCGATATCATGGAACTGGAGGACGAGGATCGTACCCGCCTACTGCAGCTTTCTGACTTACAAATGGCCGATGTGGCTCGTTTCTGTAACCGGTATCCGAATATTGAGCTTAACTACGAAGTTGTAGACAAAGATCGGATTAACTCAGGGTCAACCGTCAATGTGGTTGTTCAATTAGAGCGTGAGGATGAGGTCACCGGCCCAGTCATTGCTCCCTTCTTCCCACAGAAACGTGAGGAAGGATGGTGGGTTGTTATTGGTGATCCCAAGACCAACTCCCTGCTCTCTATTAAACGGCTTACACTCCAGCAAAAAGCAAAGGTCAAGCTGGACTTTGTGGCTCCTAGTCCAGGCAAACACGACTACACACTATACTATATGAGCGATTCCTACTTGGGTTGCGATCAGGAATACAAGTTTTCTATAGAAGTGGGAGATTTCCAGTCGGAAAGCGAGAGCGAGTCAGATTAGTTATTTTAAGAAACATCAGTTGGGCTTAGTCGCGCAAACAAAGATCAACCATTTTACAATTCAATCCCATTAATTGCAGCAATATTTTAAAACAACACTGGAAAACTTCATTTATTATTATTACTAGATCCTTCAAAAAAAGAGTTGAACAAAAATAAATTTAAAAATTACCAAATACAGCGATTTTTGCGAATTTTGTTAACGAAGCGTTAACAGGAATATTTAATAGCTTGTAACCTTTCTAACACCCGGTTTAAGTATAAATATTGATACAAATGACTATGAGATGCTTACCGTATATCTCGGAATGTCGCACATGAATCTCTTAGGCACCACCGTTCGATGCAGCTGTGGTAAATAGTGTGACCGTATACAAATCAAATTTGAAAAATTGGCGGGCAATTTAAACTAACTGACTAACAATTGACGATCCAAACCGCGATTTGGATTCGTATAAGGAAAACCTAAAGAAAAGTCCATGACAGTGCTGTGCGATAATGCCGATTTAAGTTTAAAACCCATTAAAATAAACCAGAAAATATAAAAATTCTGAGCTAATTTTAATGCTTTCAGGTTGATGGCAAGGTTATTTTAAAAATTGATACTTACCTTTTATCAATTTAATTATGACAAAAAAAGATTTATTCAATCATAAATATTTATTCGATTATTTTCGACATTTGCACACAGTATTGCTGATCAATAGATCAATAGATTAACTTGGAGGTATATTCCTTGTAGGATGCCATTGGCTCCTAACGGCTCACGGAAACCGACGAACCATGGCTGCTGCCATGATTAGCTCCTCCATTGGCAAAGCTGTTGGTGGAGCTGAAGTTAATGGTCTGTCCATTAGGAAGATGGTACACCTGACTTAGTGATGCGCCAGCCGCATTGTTAGATCCAAAGGGACTGGAGTTCTGGGACTGTGTAGCCGTGCTGGCGGAGGAGGCACCGAATGATCCATTGGCACTCTGAGACTGGAAGCCCTGAGCCTGTCCACTGGCCGCCGAAGAACCGAAGTTAAGGCCATTGTTATAGTTGCTATTGGCAGCTCCATTGGATGCGGCCTGCTCCTGGTTGTAGCCATCGGGTCCGAGAGGTCCCAGTGGATTCAACTGAACATTGGCATTGGCATTGCCACCATTTGGTCCGGCTCCAACATCAACACCAGCTTTGGTTCCTCCAGCACCGGCCGATGTGCCTGCCTGGACCTTGCTACCCTGATTTCCGCCGAAACCTTGATTACCACCAAATCCTTGTCCACCACCAAATCCTTGTCCTTCTCCACCGAATCCTTGGTTGCCGCCGAATCCACCTTCAAAACCTGGATTTCCACCGAATCCCCCGCCGAATCCTGGATTTCCGGCATATTGGCCACCAAATCCTGGTCCAAATTGGCGCTTAACCCTCTTGTGGGTTATTCCAGAGCCTTGCTCTACAGCTGAACGGACACGTCGTACCTGTGGGTTGGACTTCGGCTTGATGTACAAGGCAGATTCTACAACAACTTCTTCGATTGTGGCACCCTTGGATGCTGAAAAACGAGTAAGTCAAAAAATTAATACTTCGTAAATCAATCGTTATTTTTTCACTACATTTTCATTTGATTTTTCACGATATTTGTTTGTTTAGTTTAGAAACAATCTTCTGTATACCTTGTTCTATACAATGTAATAGATTTTCATATCTACAATAAAAAAAATGAATCATTCTTAATTTAAGGTTTCTATATAAAAAACATTAGTTTTATTTTTATTTTTAATGATATTTTACTATTATGTTGATAATCTGTATATATAGCGATAATCTTATTTCCTGGAAGAGTTGATACTCTAACAAATGAATGAAAAATCTCATATAAAATTAAAACCACATATGGATGTAAGATTTTAACAGTAATTATTCACTTCTGTTAATTAATTTTAATAATATAAACTTACGCAAATCATCTTCCCCGGTCTGGACCTGCTTCTCGTTACGCTGTCTCAGTTGGGGAAACGCCGACGCAGCCTCCAGACAGATGAGGGCCACAATTAGTACCGGAATTGACAGATTCATTTTGGATTCTTCGATTTGTTTGCTTCTGGAGATCGCACACGTCCGTCGGCTATGCCACTTCACGATCAACTAATGGATGTATCTCAGTCTTTTCGATCGGCCGATCAACTCTCACTTTTCAATAGCCACGGGGGGCCATCCCCCTTTTGTTCGATGGCGTTAATTGCTTCTATCAATATTCAAGATGTTTCGGCAAATACGAAAAAAAATAAGACAAAAACTGGCTTGTATAATCAAATTTGATTTTTGGCACATGTAACAGATGCAAACAGTTAATAATGTTGTATTATGTAGGAAAAAAACAAAACGGGTGTACAAAAGCCGAAACCGGTTAGTTGCCAAAGCTCGTGGAGGAACTAGTTTGGTTTTCTTTTGTTTATTTTTTTAACCCGACGTTGCCTGGTTTTTGTTGCTTTTCGATTTCCTTTTCGGGAAACAGATGTTGCCCAGAACTTTTACGGCTCCCAAGAGCGGGGGCGAAAAGATCGCCCCTATACGTTGGTGTCTGCTAGTGGAGGGCATCCCAGTGAACTTTTATCTTAGTGTTTCTAATGCAGCCGATTGTGTACTCTTTCAGCTGATGGAAAACCTAGCAAAATCAGTTTATGTTATTATCATTTATAATTTAGAATACTACAAAATAATATTGATTTTAAAGGTGTCAAATTTAATATAGAATGAAATTAACATTAAGTTTATTCCAATGTAAAGATGTTGGGTTAGAGATTTATACCGTTTTTGCATTTATCACTCAAATAGAATTAATAAAAATATATTATTATTAATGATAATAAATAAATGATATCCCAGGCATTACAATTTTTTAATCATAAAAAAATGATATGTACATACATTTCAAACCATATAATTATTTACCATATTTAAAAAAAAACACCTAATATACGTAATTGAAATCAATTTTTTATTACTTGTTACACATTTATTCTAAAAGTACTGACATATATTTAGAATTTTAAGTAAGTTGCGTAATAAGAATTGAAACACGAATTAAGACACTCACAGCTTCTTTCCATCAAAATGAAGATGAAGTGAACGATAACAAAAGGGAGATTCGTTGAGATCGCTTAATCAAACACGTAATATTGGGTATGCGATTTTAATGGAATATGCGAAATTTTTACGAACTAAAATGGAAAAAAACAATGATCCGAAATAAATGTATAATTTTTGTACAACTTGATAGTCGTCATGAGGCGCTTGAATGGTACGTTTTTTGCGTTTTACCTATACTATTGCTTTTAATTCTTACACTTAAGTTAAGGAATCAACAAAACTGAGCACTGTTCGATATAGTTAGCAGTTAACCTAGGATAAGTGGTTAAGCACCGCTGATTAGGTGCTTTACTCGATGCCATGGGCGAAGATCATGACCAGGCCGGGATCGATCATGACGTCCTCAGTCATGTGGAGGTTGTCACAGCTCAAAACGAGCACAGCTTGCTTGCCTGTGAAAAAAACAAACTCAAGTAATGATTGTGATTTCCGGATTTAAGTTTGTAAATCACCTGGAATGCGCCGACACATATAGTTATCGTAAATTCTACGGTTGGTTTGTCGCGTCTCCAGCGAACTGAGCCCCCGTGGCCAACGACGCTCGTGGCAGAATTCCATGAGACTATCCAGGATATGTGGCGGACAACCCGACTCGGACAAAGCGCGCTTAATCATGAGCTTTCGAAAGGTAATGAAGTAAGTTAATGTTCAAATAAATGTATTTTTGGGGCTCCACCTGCAGTGCATCGTCGGGCGTAGAGATCATTCCCCCCCAGCGCGTGACTCTGGCCCGGGGCAGGGTGCTGCTCCAGCGGATCACCTCGTCGCGCTCCATCTGGTCGGCTATAGCCCGCATCGCAGGATTAGAGACACGCATGGCACGCATAAAGTCCTTAAATAACTGCAGTTCTCGTTTCAGTTCGTTGATGGTCAGCTGCTGGTCGGTTAGCTCCGACTTAAGCTCTCCCATCTTTTCAGTCTGCTTAACGATCAGAGTGCGTAGCTCCCGGACGCAGTTGTGATCCTTTAGTTCATCCTTGGGTATGTCGAAGCCACAGCCCTTCTCGCACGGAAATGGTCGCTTCGGATTGTGGATGCACTCTTCCAGATGGGAATTGTAAGCATCTAGTTTTAGGACAGCCGTGCAGCCATAAGGTGCATTGTCACAGGTAATTGACAGTCTGTATTGCGGGGGTCAAAGATTAGTTTTGGCTCATCAAGAAAAAGAAGAAGAAGGTGGAGGAGTTGGGTGCTTCTCACCTGGACAGTAGGTTGCGCAATATACGAGGCACTGCTCGCAAATTGGCGGTCGTCAGGGCATTGCGATCCACCGGACATGTGGGCTGGCGGGTTAGCCACTCATTAATGCATCCACGACAGAAGGCGTGCTCACACATCACGGCCTGAATCGGTAAATATATAATGTCACATATGTATCGCATGAGGTATATGTACTTTGCACGAACTGCAAACAAAAACAAACCTGCAGCGGATCCTCTAACACTCCGGAGCAGATGGGACAGGTAAGCTCCTCATCCACCTCCCCCTGAAAGCGATTTACATCGTATCCCATCTTAGCTCTAAACTTTGCTGCCCATCCGCATAAATAAACTATTTATTTATATGTATTTTCTGCGGATTGCAAAATCTTTTTGCTTTCTGGTACGCTTGTTTCGTTTTAGTATTAAATGTAGTGTTGGGCAGCAGTGTTGGCGTGTTAGCTATATAACGTCAGATATGTCTGTTATGAATTAAAATCTAGCTTGCAAGCAGAATATGTATATGCAGTACAAAATTCGCATACTGTTTGTTAAGTTTTTAATCTGATAGTGCACCGAAAACTTTTAATTTGTACTTTCATGCCCAACAAAAATAATAAACAAATTTATATAAATTTTTTCATTTTAAATATGATATATTTTCATACGATAATACATCGTTTTAACATCTTTTAAAAACTTCTTTAATTGACTATTTTTTTGTTGTTGTTATAGTCGCGTTACCCGAATCCTACAAGAAAACTTTTAAATATAAATCAATCTTTTAATATATTTAACTTTTGTGGCCGAAGTCGGAAATTTAATTTTTGTTCAAATTTTTGCTTTTTTGACAGGTCGGGGGTCATCAATTTTTGGAAAAAAGGCCAAAACACAAATTGCTCATTTTTCTTGGTTTTTATTCCATAATTCAGCCAAAACAAGTCCTAGAGCTAAGTCAAAGACTGTTTTGTGCAGCTTTCGACCTCTACTTTCACCCCATAAACTTTTGTGGCCGAAGTCGGAAATTTAATTTTTGTCCAAATTTTTGCTTTTTTGACAGGTCGGGGGTCATCAATTTTTGGAAAAAAGGCCAAAACACAAATTGCTCATTTTTCTTGGTTTTTATTCCATAATTCAGCCAAAACAAGTCCTAGAGCTAAGTCAAAGACTGTTTTGTGCAGCTTTCGACCTCTACTATCACCCCATAAACTTTTGTGGCCGAAGTCGGAAATTTAATATTTGGCCAAATTTTCGCTTTTTTGACAGGTCGGGGGGTCATAAATTTTTGGAAAATAGGCCAAAACACAAATTGCTCATTTTCCTTGGTTTTTATTCCATAATTCAGCCAAAACAAGTCCTAGAGCTAAGTCAAAGACTGTTTTGTGCAGCTTTTTACCTCTACTTTCACCCCATAAACTTTTGTGGCCGAGGTCGGAAATTTAATTTTTGTCCAAATTTTTGCTTTTTTGACAGGTCGGGGGTCATCAATTTTTGGAAAAAAGGCCAAAACACAAATTGCTAATTTTTCTTGGTTTTTATTCCATAATTCAGCCAAAACAAGTCCTAGAGCTAAGTCAAAGACTGTTTTGTGCAGCTTTCGACCTCTACTTTCACCCCATAAACTTTTGTGGCCGAAGTCGAAAGTTTAATTTTTGTCCAAATTTTTGCTTTTTTGACAGGTCGGGGGTCATCAATTTTTGGAAAAAAGGCCAAACAACAAATTGCTCGTTTTTCTTGGTTTTTATTCCATAATTCAGCCAAAACAAGTCCTAGAGCTAAGTCAAAGACTGTTTTGTGCAGCTTTCGACCTCTACTTTCACCCCATAAACTTTTGTGGCCGAAGTCGGAAATTTAATTTTTGTCCAAATTTTTGCTTTTTTGACAGGTCGGGGGTCATCAATTTTTGGAAAAAAGGCCAAAACACAAATTGCTCATTTTTCTTGGTTTTTATTCCATAATTCAGCCAAAACAAGTCCTAGAGCTAAGTCAAAGACTGTTTTGTGCAGCTTTCGACCTCTACTTTCACCCCATAAACTTTTGTGGCCGAAGTCGGAAATTTAATTTTTGTCCAAATTTTTGCTTTTTTGACAGGTCGGGGGTCATAAATTTTTGGAAAATAGGCCAAAACACAAATTGCTCATTTTCCTTGGTTTTTATTCCATAATTCAGCCAAAACAAGTCCTAGAGCTAAGTCAAAGACTGTTTTGTGCAGCTTTCGACCTCTACTTTCACCCCATTAACTTTTGTGGCCGAAGTCGGAAATTTAATTTTGGTCCAAATTTTTGCTTTTTTGACAAGTCGGGGGTCATCAATTTTTGGAAAAAAGGCCAAAACGCAAATTGCTCATTTTTCTTGGTTTTTATTCCATAATTCAGCCAAAACAAGTCCTAGAGCTAAGTCAAAGACTGTTTTGTGCAGCTTTCGACCTCTACTTTCACCCCATAAACTTTTGTGGCCGAAGTCGGAAATTTAATTTTTGTCCAAATTTTTGCTTTTTTGACAGGTCGGGGGTCATCAATTTTTGGAAAAAAAGGCCAAAACACAAATTGCTCATTTTTCTTGGTTTTTATTCCATAATTCAGCCAAAACAAGTCCTAGAGCTAAGTCAAAGACTGTTTTGTGCAGCTTTCGACCTCTACTTTCACCCCATAAACTTTTGTGGCCGAAGTCGGAAAGTTTAATTTTTGTCCAAATTTTTGCTTTTTTGACAGGTCGGGGGTCATCAATTTTTGGAAAAAAGGCCAAAACACAAATTGCTCATTTTTCTTGGTTTTTATTCCATAATTCAGCCAAAACAAGTCCTAGAGCTAAGTCAAAGACTGTTTTGTGCAGCTTTCGACCTCTACTTTCACCCCATTAACTTTTGTGGCCGAAGTCGGAAATTTAATTTTGGTCCAAATTTTTGCTTTTTTGACAGGTCGGGGGTCATCAATTTTTGGAAAAAAGGCCAAAACACAAATTGCTCATTTTTCTTGGTTTTTATTCCATAATTCAGCCAAAACAAGTCCTAGAGCTAAGTCAAAGACTGTTTTGTGCAGCTTTCGACCTCTACTTTCACCCCATAAACTTTTGTGGCCGAAGTCGGAAATTTAATATTTGGCCAAATTTTCGCTTTTTTGACAGGTCGGGGGTCATAAATTTTTGGAAAAAAGGCCAAAACACAAAGTCAGAAATTTAATATTTGGCCAAATTTTCGCTTTTTTGACAGGTCGGGGGTCATCATTTTTTGGAAAAAAGGCCAAAACACAAATTGCTCATTTTTCTTGGTTTTTATTCCATAATTCAGCCAAAACAAGTCCTAGAGCTAAGTCAAAGACTGTTTTGTGCAGCTTTCGACCTCTACTTTCACCCCATAAACTTTTGTGGCCGAAGTCGGAAATTTAATTTTTGTCCAAATTTTTGCTTTTTTGACAGGTCGGGGGTCATAAATTTTTGGAAAATAGGCCAAAACACAAATTGCTCATTTTCCTTGGTTTTTATTCCATAATTCAGCCAAAACAAGTCCTAGAGCTAAGTCAAAGACTGTTTTGTGCAGCTTTCGACCTCTACTTTCACCCCATTAAACTTTTGTGGCCGAAGTCGGAAATTTAATTTTGGTCCAAATTTTTGCTTTTTTGACAGGTCGGGGGTCATCAATTTTTTGGAAAAAAGGCCAAAACACAAATTGCTCATTTTTCTTGGTTTTTATTCCATAATTCAGCCAAAACAAGTCCTAGAGCTAAGTCAAAGACTGTTTTGTGCAGCTTTCGACCTCTACTTTCACCCCATAAACTTTTGTGGCCGAAGTCGGAAATTTAATATTTGGCCAAATTTTCGCTTTTTTGACAGGTCGGGGGTCATAAATTTTTGGAAAAAAGGCCAAAACACAAATTGCTCATTTTTCTTGGTTTTTATTCCATAATTCAGCCAAAACAAGTCCTAGAGCTAAGTCAAAGACTGTTTTGTGCAGCTTTCGACCTCTACTTTCACCCCATAAACTTTTGTGGCCGAAGTCGGAAATTTAATATTTGGCCAAATTTTCGCTTTTTTGACAGGTCGGGGGTCATAAATTTTTGGAAAATAGGCCAAAACACAAATTGCTCATTTTCCTTGGTTTTTATTCCATAATTCAGCCAAAACAAGTCCTAGAGCTAAGTCAAAGACTGTTTTGTGCAGCTTTCGACCTCTACTTTCACCCCATTAACTTTTGTGGCCGAAGTCGGAAATTTAATTTTGGTCCAAATTTTTGCTTTTTTGACAGGTCGGGGGTCATCAATTTTTTGGAAAAAAGGCCAAAAACACAAATTGCTCATTTTTCTTGGTTTTTATTCCATAATTCAGCCAAAACAAGTCCTAGAGCTAAGTCAAAGACTGTTTTGTGCAGCTTTCGACCTCTACTTTCACCCCATAAACTTTTGTGGCCGAAGTCGGAAATTTAATTTTTGTCCAAATTTTTGGTTTTTTGACAGGTCGGGGGTCATCAATTTTTTGGAAAAAAGGCCAAACAACAAATTGCTCGTTTTTCTTGGTTTTTATTCCATAATTCAGCCAAAACAAGTCCTAGAGCTAAGTCAAAGACTGTTTTGTGCAGCTTTTTACCTCTACTTTCACCCCATAAACTTTTGTGGCCGAAGTCGGAAATTTAATTTTTGTCCAAATTTTTGGTTTTTTGACAGGTCGGGGGTCATCAATTTTTGGAAAAAAGGCCAAAACACAAATTGCTCATTTTTCTTGGTTTTTATTCCATAATTCAGCCAAAACAAGTCCTAGAGCTAAGTCAAAGACTGTTTTGTGCAGCTTTCGACCTCTACTTTCACCCCATAAACTTTTGTGGCCGAAGTCGGAAATTTAATTTTTGTCCAAATTTTTGCTTTTTTGACAGGTCGGGGGTCATAAATTTTTGGAAAATAGGCCAAAACACAAATTGCTCATTTTCCTTGGTTTTTATTCCATAATTCAGCCAAAACAAGTCCTAGAGCTAAGTCAAAGACTGTTTTGTGCAGCTTTCGACCTCTACTTTCACCCCATTAACTTTTGTGGCCGAAGTCGGAAATTTAATTTTTGGTCCAAATTTTTGCTTTTTTGACAGGTCGGGGGTCATCAATTTTTGGAAAATAGGCCAAAACACAAATTGCTCATTTTCCTTGGTTTTTATTCCATAATTCAGCCAAAACAAGTCCTAGAGCTAAGTCAAAGACTGTTTTGTGCAGCTTTCGACCTCTACTTTCACCCCATAAACTTTTGTGGCCGAAGTCGGAAATTTAATTTTGGTCCAAATTTTTGCTTTTTTGACAGGTCGGGGGTCATAAATTTTTGGAAAAAAGGCCAAAACACAAATTGCTCATTTTTCTTGGTTTTTATTCCATAATTCAGCCAAAACAAGTCCTAGAGCTAAGTCAAAGACTGTTTTGTGCAGCTTTCGACCTCTACTTTCACCCCATAAACTTTTGTGGCC